GAGTGTTAGGAAGCAATCTATAGTGGCCGCCGCAAGACGCATCATGACATATTAATTGTCAATTTCAACGGTACAAAAAGTTACAATTTGCAAAATATTGTTCCTATAGCTTCGGTTGAAAATATATAATTTTAATTTCACTTTTCGCTTGGTTTGCTGTATCTTCAAAGCTTTAAGCGAATGGAATATATAAAAATTACAAACTCTCCTTGGTATGGATCATGCAGCTATGGTGGTTAGAGCATCCTACAACGAACTTAGAGGCCATTCGTCTAGCCGGCAGTATTTTTCCCTTCACGTTCATTTTGTTCAAGAATGAGTATATGCTATTTCAATTTCAAATACATGGGGATTTTAAATTCGACCATTATTTTGTTTTGGTGCGATTTTTATATATTTTTGCATGGTTCGTAAAAAACGCTTTTTTACAGTGTAGACATTGATTTATGCAATTGGTTAGAAGTAAAAGGGATGTAAGTGAATGTGAGCTCAGTGTTAGTCAAAACTTCAACTAGAGTTATTAGCTTACCAAATAACTCGTAAAACTAAGCAAACGACTTAAAAAAATAATGCAAGACTACCAGAGTTTACTACGATGATAAAGCAATCTCGTTAAATATTTGATATCGAGTGATTTCATAACAAAATAATTATTAAAAAAAAAACAAAATACAGCTTAAAGACTCTTGAGTCATCCGAAAAAGAGAGTTGTTACTGAAAGTGTGCTTACCAGGGTAATTCCTCCAAATAAGCACAAAAGCAATATCGTCCAAACTTTTGTAGCAGAGCTTTCAAAAAATATTGCTCACGTCTGTGAAAAATTTATAAAATCCGAAACTTTGTCTGAATTATAGATCTCTAAAATTTCTTATGGTTGAATATCCGAAAAAAGTATTGTACATTTTTTTAAATGTACTTGTATTGATTTTTTTCTTCAATTTTATCATTTAATAGACACGTTAAAATTGTGATAGAACAACTCTTGGTTTTGTTTGGTGTGGAACACTGTTTGGTGTGGAATTTGGGCGGAAGACGTCATTAAATCCTCTCTTTTTCGGTTTCCAGGGGATAGGATCTCCCATTTGGAGGTCGCGACTCTAAATGGGAGATTGCATGTCCTTGCTGTCAAGATTGTTTTAATAAATATTTGCTTAAAGTCGGAAGTATAACTAAAAAAGGCCATGGGCATCCAAATTTTGGAGGAAAAAAAATTAGGCACTGTACGTTGAGATCTTACTTCCCACTTAATCCCACTTAAGTCTACAATGAAGTCACTATAAAATTAAAAACTTACATTAGTAGTTGTTTAAAATGAATTTAAATATTTTTAGATATCGAAAAAGTGTTTTATCATGCACGTTAATAAATGATCTCAGGTCGATGGTCAGCAAAAAATGTAAAAATATCACAAAAATGATTGTTAATGAAAAATTTTCTGAATATTTCTAGAATAATAGCAGAATAATATCCTTAAAAAGAGGTTAGTTTTCAAAACGAAGTATTCTTCTACAACTATTTGGGCCTTCGATTTTTGCTTATTAGTTAGAATACTTTGAAAAAGGAAATTTTTAGGGTTATTAGTACTCAATAGAGGTTGAAAATTAGTGTTTTAATGATAGGTAAAACGTTAGAAAAATCCCAACCAATTATTATCAAACCTATCATTATAATGGAAAAACATTTTGAAAGCATCAAAACCAATTTTTTTATTGGATAAAACCCAAAAGTCTCTAATTATTTCAATTAGTTAAAGCGCTTGAGAAAAATAAGAATTGCCTTTATTATCAGGTTCAAAATTTCAAGTTAAATTTTGACTAGCTAAAATATATCAACGTTCTTAGCTCAGGGATTTATTTTTCAATTTTATATTTCATTAGTAAGTACTCAGTTTAGATCTTTATTATAAAGTGATTAATATCAATTTATTTTTAACATGATTCAAGAGACATGAATCAATGCTGGTATATAGAAGACACAATATGTAAAGGAAATGAAATTTTGAGAGAGTAATTAAAAGCATAAAAGTAGTTAACCATAGCAGTTAGTTTTATTTACAACAGCCCGGTTGCAATAAAAATTATCAAACATTTACTTACAAATTCATGGAATTATTTAATCATTAAATTGATAGAATTGAGTTTTTCAATTCTAGCAAATTAGCTTGTATGCACAGTTCCCATCTTAGAGCCTAATTTTATATTTAGCATTTTCAATTAAAAACTTAATATATAGACCCTATAACGACAACTAAACATTAAACAACTACTTGGTATTTATGTATGACCAAATTCTTCAAATGGTAATAATTTTATACTTGCATTACATACTTATTTATTGGATGATTTTGAACTATGAATGAATAAATCCAGTAAATTCTAATGTTTAATAATATGTAATAAATAATATGGAAAAAAAGTGATGATTTTGAACTATGATTGAATAAATTCAGTAAATTCTAATGTTTCATAATATGTAATAAGTAATATGGAAAAAAAGTTTTGATTCTCTGAAAAAATCAGTATTCATTTTATGTAAAAAACATATAAAAAACATACAGCTTCATTTTAAAAAAAATAGTAAGTTTTTAAATGTACATTTATTCTTGTTTTAAATATGTATACATAATAGTTGTTTTTAAATATGCATTCTTTAAGATTTCTTCGGTATGTTTAAAATATTATTTTACATATATTATTTTACATAAGGTTCTCACCGCAACAGCCCTCCACAAATTCAGCATTATGAAATAAATTATATTTCTTGACATTTACAATGAATTAAATGTCTTATTATGAAAACATTTACTACAGTTTTTGCAAATTTTGATTTAAGATTGGTAGCAATTCAATTACTAAGAAACTCATATTTGAGTTAGAAGAAAACACTTTACTTAAAGAAAAGGTACTTTTTAGTATGTTTCCAAACATTATGTTCTAAACACTTGAAAAAAAATCGAAATACTTTAGACCTATAATATTTAATTATATTAAAGATTTTCATTCATAAAACAGTAAATTAATTTATAAGTTATGAAGCAAAGCGTTTTGGCAACATGGCTAATGAACGTAATTTAAAAACTAAAAAATGTAGTTTGAAAAATTGTTTTAAATGATAAAAATTAAGCAATTTGAATTAATTAAACAATGAAATGATAAAAACTGAAATGAATCTGCACATAGAAACAATTTTACGCATATATTTCTCACTGAAAATCATATGAAATGGAGTAAAAAGTATTCTATATAAATCTTACCCTATACGTTCAACTGAGCTAACGATTCCTAACTATGTGAGCAAACGATTCTGGTGATTTAAAATCAACCAAACGAGTAACCTGGTTATAAATACTTTAGAATCCGTTTTCAATTGCAGTCTTTGAAACTTTCCCCTAATATATTCTCAAAGTTGAAAAATTACTCTTCATCACATTTTCCTTATCGAGACAATTTCCCCAATTTTCTTTTATATTTGGAAAGTAAAAGCGGACAATTTCTTGGAGCGTGAAACGTGCCTCATCACGAAATTGGTTGCTTGAGGGGATGTTCGCAACTAAAGCTGCGATAATTCCGTTAAGGATTAGAGGCACCACTGAAGATGATGAATAGAATTATGGTTTCCAAAACCACAAAAATGGTGGTTTAAGTATTAAGTGAAAAAAAAAAAGTTTGAAGGTCTATTTACAAAGATTTATTCATTTTGCCGTGTGTTTAGAATAAATTATGTGCAATGGTATTTGATCAAAAACAAGCATTGAGTTTTATCCTGTATTGCTTGTAAACAGGCAATTAAAAGCATTATGATCAAGTGTTTATTGAATACAAAGTGCATAAATCTCAACAGCAGTTAAAAATATATATGACCACATATTATCTTTAAAGTGAGCATTTAGAATTGAATATGCGTCCAATATACGCAGTTGTCACTTATATGAAGGACATGTGGAATTCACACTTAAATATAAAATTAGTAATTAAAAGCGGTATAAGATACCAACAGGATCTTGATGATGTTAAACTCGATGATTTTAAACCCTCCTTCGCCGTTCACGACCTCAAACATAGCTGGTCAGAGTCTTAAAAATTTGTTGTTTTGAAACTGAAATTTTGATTCGCAACCCTTCATGACCGCATTTTTTAATAATATTTTTACAATAATACAAAACATATATATTACGCTGAAAGTCTGATTAACCAAGGTGATTCGTTTAAGTGCCAAAAATTTTTCATTTCTTAAATTACCCAGATAATCTGCACATTACCTAAATATTGGTTTGCAACTCTTCATGCGTGCATTTTTTAATAATATTTTTACAATTATTAAAAACATCTATCCCCTAAAGTGTAGAGATCAGTTATTTGATAGATTACCCAGCTAATGTGCTAATTAACAAAGATGATTCATTAAAGTACCTGAAAAATTTTCTTTTTGGAACCTACCAAGGTAATCTGCACACTACCTAAATATTGGTTTGCAACTCTTCATGCGTGCATTTCTTAATAATATTTTTACAATTATTAAAAACATATATGTTACCCCCTTAAGTGTAGAAATCAGTTATTCTACAGACTATCCAGCCAATGCGCTGATTAACAAAGGTGGTTTGTCAAAGTGGCTAAATTTTTTTTTTTCATTGCTCAAATTACCTAGATAATCTATACATTATCTAAGAATTTGTTAAAGTGAAAATAAGATCTTTGTTAGAACAACATCAACACTTCTGTACGCTAAAATTAGCGATACTTTATTTATTTATTTTTCGCTATCTAAAAAAATCACGTTACTATAATCTCAAACAATCAACACATTAGTTGATATATTAATCATTTTAAAAATTATAATGCAAAGAATCAAATAGTTTAAACTAATTTTACAATCAAGCCTATACAAATGTTTTATTATTTGGATAATTAACTATATATGTATAAAATATTGCCCCTGCAAGCAATATTTGATCCGTAGATACAAAACATGACATTAATCTCAGCTTTTTTTTGTTTCAGTTTATCAGTAACTCAGCTTACCAAAATGACCACAAAATGGGGCATTGTGAGTGCCGGAAAAATTAGTCACGATTTTGTGGCTGCTGTAAGAGGCTCCAATGATGGGGAACATGAGGTAAAATTATAAATTATTACACTTTATAAAGCTAATATTGAATTATTATTGATAGATTTCTTAATATACGTGTTTAACAGTCTTAACATGCTCAACAATATTCTTAATATTATCCGAATCGCATTTTATTTGATTCTGTTACTTATTTTCCATGTTCACAAAGGCAATAAAATTAGATTTCATTCAACAAATCATGAATTTCCAAGAAAAATAATTTCACGTTGACACAAAAAATTACCTATTTTGGTTTTTATAATGCCTTCAGACGAGCTGGGAATAAAAAAAACTTTTAATCTATGTGTAAAATCGTCTCTTTCTATCAATCATTAAGTATTCAAAATAACTTCCATGCATTTTCAAAATCCCACAAAGGTTCCGTATTTTTATATGTTTTATTAGTAGCGATGTGTGAAAGAGAGAAACATAACTGAGCGATTACATATTTATTAAGCTAATTCAAAACAAAACAGGACAAGACAAACAGATAGAAACATCTAGCTTATTCTAATGTAATGTTGAAAGCGGTGTAGGTATGCAGCTTTAGCAACAACATCTGTAATCAATATCTTACACATATCAATGAATATATATGAAAGTTGTTAATATTTACGTGCCTGTAATTGCAAATTTTAGTTCTGACTGACCGATTCGAGAGCCTGAAGAATTCCTATTGGAAGATCCACTTTGGGAAAATTTTAGAAATTAGTACGAGCCAGTAATCACAAAAAAATTTTGTCCTATTTTTGGCTTTAATTCGGGATATTCTCAGGGCACTAAAATACGGACCAACCTGAATAACTTTTGATCTAGGGACGTTCTAGGACTCAATCTTAATGACTCAAGAAGTGGACCTCAAATATGCTATTTAATAAGTGTAGACGATATTTTAAGTTACGAAATCAGATACAAAAAAACTTACTTCGTCTTAAGAAATGTACTATTTTTTGACGGATTTCGATTTCTGACCCCTAAAATGTAGGGTGTTGCCGCTATTTGGAAATTATGGTCTACATAGTTTATCCAGGAGATAGCCCTAAAGTTCAGCCCCCTTAATGTTAACTTTACTTATTGGGTATTTCGTTATATCTCGGGAAATCTTTAAACGAAATGAAGAAATTTTGAACGCAATTATAAAATTCGTTTATCCAAAGACAATTCCATGCAAAAAATAACTTTTAGTAAATATTTAATATTTTTATTATTTTATTTAATAATGGTAGAAAAAATTTTGAATTGTAAGGTATTGAATTTTTACATAATTTTAGAGAACGTAATTTTAAATGGAAAATAAAAAATTTGAGCGAAAAATTAGCATTAAGGAGTTTAAACTTTTGACCGCTCTCCTGTCCAAACTATGGGAACCATATTTCCCGAATTGCGACTACCCTCTTTATTTTGAGGGTCAGAAATCTGAATCCGTTCGAAAAAAGATATGTTTATTTTTAGAAAGAATGTTCTTGTGTCTGATTTCGTTACGTAAAATATCGTCTGCACTTAATAATTAACATATTTAAAGTCAACCCTTCTACCCATTAAGATTGAGTCCTAGAACGTGAATATCGGATCATTAGATCAAGACTTATTAAGGAAACTCCTTTTTTACTGTACATGTAGTTTATTTAGCAGACAGCATCAATGATTATGACAACTGCCGAATCCATTTCATTGCAGTGTTCGAGCTTCCCAACCCCCCAGTTATTTGGGTTTCTCGACAATAAACAGTATACATGAAAAGTATAATGAATTACTCTATTTCTGCTAATGCATGCTATTTTTGATATCGTATTTTTAATAATATATCATTAATAATATAGCTTTTAAATCAAATTCTATCCGTTAATTACTAGAAAGGATTAGTTAATTCAAAGGATTAGTTAATGGTAAAGTATTTATTAATGGTAAGTTAGTGGTAAAGTATTTACTTATTATGTAATATTACATTTTTTGTACTACTGAATAGTCTATATTGCATCGAATGTATAAATACATAATAGATTAGATTTACATGATAGACTGAATTCAAAATTTGATAACTCCTACTGCAAAAGGGAACAATTTTTTTAAATTATATTTTTCTTTTTAATCCGCCAATTAAAAAAAAATGGGAATACTATGAAATTCATGAATACAGGCGTACGTTGTTATCTAGAACAGGCTTAAGATGAATTTCTTCAAACAAAAGCTTCTTTTCGATTCCATGTCAGGCTCTATACGAATATTTCGTAGGCACTCTTAACTTAAACACGCTGAACGGGATACGTTATCTCACATTAATCATTATTTACAATTCTATACCAAAAAGAGCAAGTATTTCTTAAAACTATTTCATATATATCGATACAGTTATANCATCGATTATGTAAGCTTCAGCAGTAGTAGAAGAGAGTCTGTGTCAATCAGTCTGTGTTTATGACTGGACCGCTTTTTAGGCGAACATCCATTTCGATGTTTTTATAACATTATTAATGGGAATAGAAAATTTGCTTTATATTTCTCGCAGAGATAACTTCAGGTAAAAGTTTTGAAAAATACATGTTTTTTTAAAAAATCCTTTAAAATTTTTACAAAAGTGGTTGGTATTTCTCTTTGACTCTCCCAAGATGTTTGCAATAAAGAATTTTATCTTAGACGGAAAGTTTAACGCACGGATTTTGGTTTGATACTCTGAATAATCTAATCTATCATGCATTTATCCATTATTATTCCTGTATTGACTATGATGTGGTACTAAAATAAGAATTTAAAACAAATTTGCAGATGAAATACCATGATGTCTGATTTGAATGATAAGGTTTAAATTTTATTTTAGAGGAATCAGAAGACAAATTTCGGAACCAAATCTGAGTTAATACAACATGGAAATTCGAGATCTTTCAAATGAATAATTTCATATTCAATGTAATAATCTGTTCATCATCAAGAAACAAAGCCTACGAAGTAATTGTGGGGGATGGTAAGCGAAACGAACAGGTAGTGGAGCCCCATAAAAATAGAAAACTGCATGCACAAAATATCAAATGCTTGTAACTTTTTTAAAAGATATCATTAAAAATCGCCAAAAAAGCATTTAAAAATGCGTATTAAAAATTTCTAGTGAACGTAATTTCGAACATCCACCATAATTGTTCTAAGTCTGAGATGGCATCTGATCCAAAATTAAAGCCTCATACATGTTGTATATGTGTATCAAGTTTTATTCTTCTATCATTAAAGATGCGATTCATTCATTTACTTCACCAATCTAACGAACTATAATTGCAATATGGACAAAAAAAAATTACTGGTTTGAAAAGAAGAACCAATTTTGAAATATACGAAGACAAACTGCGTAAAACGCATATAACCGTTGACAGCTCATTACTTGTTCTAAATATCTTTCCAAATAAGAAATCTTCTTACACAGAAGACTTCTTACACTTTGAGAATTATTTTAAGACCTAAGAAATATTTAGGTCATGCGATTTCTCATACATATCGATAAAATTTAGAACTAGAGGTTTGAGGAATCTGCAAACGAAAAATAATGTTTTTGAACACCCTATGCGAAAAAATATGGCGATAATCTTGTTACTCACATCAATTACTTTAGTGATCATCTGGTATTACTGCACAAAATTTCATAAATCTAGCATAAATATTCAAGGAGGTAAACACTTTATTCTATAAAACTAATTTTTTTCTTTTTGTCTAACGTTTCGCTACTGCAAAAATATTCAATAAAATTAAACAAAATATTTAGAGTAGTTTTTAATTAATAATGAAAATACGATTTAAAATTTGAAAAAAAATCGCTAAAAATGAGTATTTAAAAATGTTTCATAATTTTGCTCTGAATTGTATTTGGTTACTTATGAAAAAGAGTTCGATTTGAATATCTAGAAAATGAAAAATGTTTCTACAATTTTCAAAGCAGCTTTTATACTTTTTAATTTAAAGTTCTAAATGACAAGGGTTTTGCAACAAATTTTATTTTGTATCATACATCAAAATTTAATAACAAATGATGGTCCGGATAACAAAATGTGAATTAAGAACTAAAACATGCAAAATAAAGCATAATTTAATAGGGAGTGATCCTATATAATAGCGATATCCTTTTCAATTAATCTTGTTTAATAGTACAAAATATAATTTAACATTCAAAGCTTTCCTTCCCATATTTTTCAAAAACTACTTAAAAAATTGCTAGAAACTTTTTAAATTTTCAAGATATCGAAATCAGATCTTCTTCATACATTTCTAAATACGATTCAGAACAAAACTATTAAAAAAGGGATTTTTATTCAGAAAAGTATACTTTACATCTGATTTCGTACCTCACAATATCATTTGTACAAATTAGTTAGCATATTACAGGCCAACTTCAAGGAACATTTATATCGTACTATTCTATTATAAAATTCATTCGCCTAAAAAAAAAAATTTTTTTTTTTGGCACTTGCGTCTATCCCATTGGCCTCAGAATTGCCAGAATTGCTACTCTCTTATCATTACCCAGTGAGCACCTATGACTAAACCACGGCAGTGGAGTAGCGTCACCCACGTCATACAACACAAACCCGTTTATAAGGTGGGTTACATTCACGCAATCACACAGAAGAAGAGACATAGATCACAGAGAGAGAAAGAAACATCCATGCCCTGAGCGGGATTCGAACACGCAACCATCGGCTCCGGAGTCAAGCACGCTAACCCCTCGGCCACCTGGACGGTGCCTTAAAAATAAATGGAAATAATAGTCGACATGTTTAAAATGCTTAAATTAGGCTCCCATTTTCAAGACTGGCCAGACGTGAATGAGAAGAAATAAAGTGATTCGAAATATTTAACTTTATATTGAACAAATTATATTGTAACAAATTTAACATTAATATTGTACATTAGTACGAGAAAATTCGATCAATAGATTAGAATATATCAGGGTGTTTCGCATTTTTCTTAGCACACTACAAAGCTGAAATTAAATACGAAAAATTGGTTATTAAAATCAAAATAGGTCATAAAGATGTGCATGAACTGCAGAAAGTTCAATCGCTTGCTATTGCTTTCACTAGTCTTTAATTTAAACCTACTCTGAGTCCTATAACCTTTTTAATATCAGAAATGCGCGTTCTTCTTTATCAGATAGCCAAATATTAATAGCTAAATATTCCTGTCGAAGTTTCGAGTTAGACTTCATAACAATTGAGTTTCGAGAATATTGAAGTTTTACAGACAAAAAAAAGCAGCCTTCTGTCAAATGAATGATCTTGCGTGGGATATTTTTGTTCGTTGATTGTTTTAAAATTGCTTTTAGGTTTTTAATGACATCGATCCATCAAGGTTGTTTCGTGATATCAATGACATTTTTCTGTGCCACTAGTTTATCATCAGTCTTTCGGTTTCCTCATTCCTGGAAATGCCAATATGTTTTGTTTTTTTACTCAATTCTGATCAAAATATCTAGTTTAGTTTTTCTTTAATCCCATATAAGGACTAACTTTTCATAACTTTTTATCGAACTCGATCTTGATTTTTCATGATCTCAAATATGGCAATTACTTAAGGCAGACGATATTTTAAGTCGATTAATTCCAGAGAAATCGAACTTCAAATGTCTAACTTCTTCAAAATTCAATTTCATAGGAACTAAACTGCTGATGTCGTATAAATTTTGTAATCCGCTGTACGAAATTACTATATTTCACAAGATGTAAAAATTTTTGTACCTAACAATTCAAATTTTTTTCAACCATTATTAAATAAAACAATAAAAATAATAAATAAATGCCAAAAATTATTTTTCCATGGAATTATTTTTGGATAAATGAATTTTACAATTGTGAGCAATAATGTTTAAATTCGCTTCAAAAGCTCCGAAAAAATAGCGAAATACGCAAAAAAAAAATTACATAGAGGCCTAATTTTAGACCGCTCTCTTGACTAAACTATTTGGACCCCATTTTCCAGATTGCGGCCACCTCCTATATTTTGGGGGTTAATGATCGCAGTCCATCGAAAAAAAGGGCATTTTTGCTCTGAGAAAATGCTTTTGAGTCAGACTTCGTAACTTAAAAAATCGTTTGCACTAGTTAATTAACATATTTTAGGTCCTGAACCATTAAGATTGAGTCCTAGTACGTGAAAATATGATCATTAGATCAAATGTTGTTCAGAATGTTTCAATTATTTATTTGCGCACTGTATACTTAACAAAAATCTAAAAATATCTGTGCTGTCTTTGAGCTGGCAAATCCAAGCTGCTTATCCAAGTAAACGCATTAAACATTACCTTAAGTACTGAAAAAATAAGATGCAGCATATAAAAAACTGAGTGCATGAACTGAATAACAAAAATATTTTAATTCTTTTAGCTTTATTTAAGTTTCCCAAATAATTTCTATTCACTCAGTATCATTTCTATAAACAGAAAATTAATGTATTTTTCAGTTTGTTGCAGTTGCTGCTAGAAGTTTAGAATCTGCAGAAGCGTTTGCAAAAGTACATGGAATACCAAAAGCATATGGATCATACGAATCTATAGCCAATGATCCAAACGTTGGTAAGAAAATTTCCTCTCAAAACCGAAACAAACATTTTATTTATGAAGATTATTAATCTTCTTGGTATTTAGCCAAATTTTCTCGAACTCTATGCAATATTTCACAGAGATCAAATTATTATTTTATGCTGATAAAACTAAATTTTATTAAATTTCTATCAATACCATAAGCAAAAATATTTTTAAAAAAAATTTTATTCATTTATTTTTGTAAATTTCGAAATATATTTTTTTTTATTTATCTGAAACAAACCGAACAAGCATTTTGTTTATGAAGATTTTTAATCTTTTTAACATTTAGCCAAATTTGCCCGAACTTACGATATTATTTTAAGTTGATAAAATAAAATTGTATTAAAATTTTATTAACACCAAAAGCAATAATACTAAAAACTATTTTTATTTATTTATTTTTGTAAATTTCAGAAAATATTTTTTTTTATCTGTCACGCTAAACTGCTCGAGTGAAATATTCATAACATCCTAAAAAATATCCTTTTATTTATTTTTATCTTTTTGTTGTTCGTATGCCCATCAAGCGTAATAAACGAAAGCAAAATTCCCATGAGTTTACTTCTTCTTCATTCAAAAATTAATTTTTCTGTTCTTTTGTTTGGTTTAAAACATGAAAGTTTATTATCATGTAACTCTTAACTATTCTATGCTGAATTAAAAACTAGCTATTTAGGGAAAATCACCACAGGGGAAATAAAAAAAGTATTTTAAGCTCAAAATAGTAATTGTTTTAAATTAAGTTTTTTTTAAATATTACTTAATTTGTTAAATTTAAAATGTTTTTCTTTATTTCAACATCAAGTTTAACTTTTTAAGAGTTTCTCTCAACTTTAATGTAAGCAATTGTCGATATTCATTGCAACAATCGGTACATTACAGCTGACGTAATAACCAGAAGAAATCATATTCATTTAGAAATAAAAATTAAATTTCTTTTTGATTTTAATCTATCAATTTAAAAATTATTCCAAATATAACTTTTTATATTCGCTCTGATGTGTTTTCGAATAAATATAAATAATTAAGCATTTTAATGTATGTTGATTTTAAAAATTGTTAAACTTATTTGCATTTACTTTAACACGTAAATTGAACAGTTAAAATAATAAACAGTACGAATCAGATTCATTTAGAAATAAAAATTAAATTTCTTTTTGATTTTAAATTAATGATTTAAAAGTTATTCCAATTATACCTTTTTTATTCATTCTGATCTGCTTTTGAATAAATATAAATAATTAAATATTTTAATTAAAAAGTTGATTTAAAAATTTTTTAAGCTAATTGCATTTACTTTAACTCATAAATTCTAACTGATTACTTAATAAGTAGCAAATATTAACAGTTTTCTCTTTTTATTGAAATGTAGCCATAAATTCTTATACATCTGAATGGTTTTAAAAGATGGTTTTAAATTGATTTACTATAATAAAAAAGCATTTCAGTGTAGGTCGGTTTTAAAAAAACTTTATCTCAACTTTTATCGTCATTTTTGTTTCCCAAATTAAGTTATTACTATGATTAAAGACTATGAGGAAATGATTTCAATAAAAAGATATTGCCAAATAATTTCCCTATTTTATATTATCTTGTCAGTATGACAGGTATTCGTTTTAAAATCGTATTATATTATCATTTACTATTTATTATTACTTCATTATTAAAAAAAACGATAATAAAATTTTTTAGCATTTTTATTATTTAGTTATCATACCAAAGCTTTATCGAAATATCACAAATATTTATCATAATTAGTAAAAAACATTATTTTTATAACTATCAGAAACAGCTTTACATCTCACTGTTTTTCTCATGAAGATAATGCTTGAAAATGCTTACGCAAAAACATGTGTAATTTATTAATGACACTTAACTTTTGTTTTTGAAACGGCGTGTGTAATTTACTTTTTTAAACACATGTACAATTATTTAAAATCGAAAATAATTTCTTGTTATGTAATTTTCTTTTTGCATTATTGAAAAACTATGATTGAACGTTTGTTTTTCATATTATACTACAAAAAGTTCATATTATTCAAACAATCGCTGTGTATGACTTTAAATTTAATAAAAAGAAATGCTTAACCATAAAAGATTTTCAACATTGTTATCATTTATCAATTTCGAATGCATTTTATTGAAATGCTACCATTATTTATCAAAATTAGCACAACTCATTGTTTTTATCACTGTTTTAGAAGTTGCTTATATAGGCAGTATCACATCACAACACTTTTCTTTAGCAAAGCTAATGCTAGAAAATCGAAAACATGTTCTACTAGAAAAACCCATGACGACAAATTTGAAGGAAACAAAAACCCTGTGTGAACTAGCCAAGAAAAACAAGCTATTTTTAATGGAGGTAACATTAAAACATTTCCTTTATTCTTGCTTATAATGATCAAACATAAGGGAGAATTATTGAATAATACTTATGTATAATATATTTCTTGAAATGATACTTCTTTCTTTAAACTTAGGGCTCTCTATAGTGATTGAAAAAAGGAACTTATTAAAGAAAATTTTTCAGGGAGACTCTGGATCAAAATTGTGAACAACTTTTTAATATACAATTAGTGAACAACAAAATTTAATTTTTCCAGCACTACACAATACAAAATGGTAGCCTTACAAAGTTTATCGAAAGCTTTTTCTGTTTGAAAGATCTGTTTTCTGTTAGAAGCTTCTCTGTTTAAAGACTACAATTTTTTAATTAAGAGCAATTGTTCAGTTATGTGAATAGATGACTTCATGTGAATAGATGACTTCAGAACAACCAGTTATTGAGACCAAGGCATGATAGTAACACAGAGATTAAGGATTATGCAAATATTTTAAAGGGAAAGTGAATTCTACTAAATGACTCAGAAATATCTAGGAAAAATCTCCAAGTACTTTACAGAAAAAATAAAATTTTATTATCATTTGAGATTTCTGTATAAAATATTAAGACAACTTTAGTGGAGCACTTACAAAGCCAAGAAAATTAAAAACGCTTTGTTTTTTCTTAAATCCTAAAATAACCTAACCCCTTAACTACTTCCATAAATTTAATAAGCAACTTTGCTATTTTGACTACATTGTTAATTGACACTGCTGCACTTGTTGTAGGCTTTGTGGAGTAGATTTCTTCCCTCATACCATTTCTTAATGGATCTCGTTAGGAAGGACACAATTGGAAAGATTGTTCATGTTGATGCTCATCTTGGAGTTGCAATGTTAGACAGAGAAAGAATAGTGAAAAAAGCATATGGTGGTGGAGCAATTCTAGATATTGGAATATATCCTCTTGCCCTGGTGTCTCTGATTTATGGTGGGGAAAAACCGATGCGCATTGCTGCAGTTGGTCATCTTAATGAAGATGGTAAATTTACTTATAGTTTTAAATTAAGTATTTTAAAGATAAATTTTAAAAGTAAAAGAAATAGCAACGAAAGTACACTCAAAACCTTTTCAGATCCTAACACATTCCTAAAAATAAAATTTTAATTTTTTTTTTTTTGACATTTTGACAATCTAATTAACTGTATTTCTTTATTTTTGACAGTCATTTTGTCACAAAATCGTGTGGTTTTTCCCGAAGCGCGAACTCTCAAATGTTTGAAAAAACACTTCTTTGCACTATGTCATCCAATGCCCTTGTGGAGTTCTTCATTTTTTTCACCTGAATTAAAAACCAATGGCACCATAAGACGGGATGGTAAAGAGATTAGTTCTCTCACTTTTCAAGCAGGTTTCCCGGATTTAATTCACCTGACGATAGCATAGTAACCATTCACTACTACTCACTTTATTTTACATAGTATTTCCTTATCAACTGAGTTAGATGATGCATAGTATTAAGGTTCATGCTTCTGACGAAATTTGTATCTCAAACAATTGAAAATAATAATTTCTTCAATTAGGCAAAATGTCGCTCAGAGCATTTCCCAGGAAACGGTTTTATCTAAAACGAAGAAAATTTCGTGAATTTTAATCCATTTCTAACAATGCAACTAGCATACCTAACAACCTTAAGCCTTATTTAAAATAATAAATAAATAACAGCATACTACAACTTTTTTTTAATTATACAATGTGTTAAAATCATACGGAATACAACACAACTTATACACAGTTTCCTTTTTAATTACTTTATTTTCTCAACCTCATTTTCTCAACTTTAGTGAGATGTCTAATGAAATTTACGTAGTCTTTAACTAATAGTATTTGAACATAAACTTGATGAATGAATTCGTTTAAACTAAGGAATTGGAACAAATATTTCACCTATAAGTGAAGATGCTGAGTAATAATAGTGCTATTGTTGTTATAATTTCCTGTCTTTATCATTCTTATCCCCAAATACAGTGTAATTATTATTATTTTTTTCAATCGTTTCTTTAAGTTATAATAAAACATTAACATTATTTCTACAACCTAATGTAACAATTAAAAACGTAAATATTTATGTCTACAAACGCGTGTTCATCATTTCTCTCATTTTCTTTCTTTATCTTTCCTTCTTTTTTCTTTTCTTTTCAATTATTAGGTCAAATTGTGATATTAATATGTCTAATGATAGGGATAGATATTGGAGCCACCTGCAGTTTACAATTTAGCAATAATCGTACTGCAAGTATTACGACTAGTGCAATAGCAAGTTTGCAAAATGATGCTACCATCATTGGAACTCATGGACAAATTAAGGTGAAACATGGAATTATTTTTAATAAAATTGCGTTAACATTCAAACAATACTTTCGTATTTTCTACGTAAATTTTGAAACTAACACTCATCACACTACAAATTTCTGTTTTTAAAAAATATGTATATCTAATGATAAAAAATTGATATTTAACCTACAAAAGCAATTAACCCAAACTCCGTATGTAAAATATAATGCAGTTATTCCGTACTTCATACATAGGTAATTCCAAAATTAAGGTACAATAGTTGAACATAATAATAGAAAATCTGAATTTTGTCATTTAAAACGATATTTTTCTAAACTTACATAAAAACTAAATTAAAGTAATAAATAATAATTTATTCTAAAAGAAATTGCATGAAATTAACTTTTAATAACCGAATTATAAAGCATGTGCATAAGTTTTTTGATTCGAGATAATTTATTCATCGAAATAATTTATTCATTTAGAAAAAGTACGTTTCTGTTTCTGATTTCTTAACATAAAATTTTATTTGCACTCATAAATGAGCAGATTTAATGCTTGTCCCTTAAATTTCACTCCACTCGAAAATCGGATCATTAGATCATAAGTTATTAACTGAGATACGCTTTTTATTAAATTTTTTTCTTCAATTTTGTGAATCTGCGTCTGAACGGGTATAAGTGACAGTAAAACATTTGTTTATTTATCGAAAAAGGAAATTTAATGCATAATATTAAATGTTAGGTATTTTTATTATAAATTAATTCAGTTTCATTATTTTGTGATTGCTGATAACAAAATTGTTAAATATTTTCTAGATTCCAAATCCAATGTATGTCGCTACTGAAATCCATACTGAGGAGGAAAATTTCTCATTCTCTCTGCCAGAACCAATTATACCTCCTAATTATCCCAACTCCACTGGACTCATGTATGAGGCATATGAAGTTCGAAGATGCCTTAAGGAAGGTAAAACAAATAATGATGATCATAACAATAATCTGAAAAAAATTATAACTTAAAAAATACCAGAATTAAATTTTCAGCAAACAGAAAAAACAATAATTAAGAAAATCGCTATTGAGAAAGTTGGGATTAAAAAAATCAAAATCTGTTTGAAAGGAATTCAGAGGTGATTATTAGAAAGACATTCAAGTATTAACTAGGTGATCAAATAGGTTTTGACTTTCTTAATCTCGCATTCCTCATCAGTGGTTTGTCAGATTCTGTTTAATTCTTTCTTCGTCAAAAATATTAATTTGCAGCTCCAACATTTATACTTTTTATTTCATTTTTAAAACGCATTTTAAAAATATACATAAGGAGCGGTGATAACACTTTCATAATTGTCTGTCTGCAGATTTTACAATAAAAACGGTTACTTCAGCTATTTGTTGCCACGCAATGGTTAAACTTTTGAATCAAATTTTGATGTACATAATTTTAAAAAGTATAAAAATATTTGCTAAATTAATATATATTTGCTAAGCTAATCTATAACTTTTATAGTTAAATTTGTAATTTGTCCTTTCAATACAAATGTAAACGATTCGAATGAAAACACTTATAAATTCATTAGTTTTTTTTCTTTTTGTTCTTTTTTTCGATTTATTTCAAGCATGTACTAATATTCATATTTTTTTATTTTTATATTATATGATCAATACATTAACTAAATTCGTATTTTATTTCCTTTTTACGCAAAAACCTGAACTTAATTATTAAATGAGCTTAATTAATGCGATGAAAGAAATCTGACAAAAAAAACCTACCATAATAAATTTTCATACTACTGAAGACTGGAGATATAAATTTATCGCATTACCATGAAGGAATTGCAGTATTTAATCGTATATTTTTATCAAATCCAGTAAATAAATAAATAAGCTACTTTAGTAATTACAATTAATATTGCGAGAAACTTTAACAACTTATTATTCTAAAATTTCCGAAAGACAAAGAAATTATTTAAAAAAATGTCAGTAAGATTGGCTTTGCTTTTTTTTAAACGTATTTTAAAAGATACATTTCAAAAAGCGAATTCAATATTATTATCAATTGACATAATGATAAAATTGTTGCAAAACGGATTTTTAAAAATAAAGTAACATTATTACTATTTTTTACATATTTCTAGGTCTTTTAGAAAGTTCAAAAATGCCACATAAGGATTCTGAACTCCTGGCAGAAATCATGGATGAAATTCGGAAAGAAATTGGAGCAGGAAAATAAATTCTATTTGCTATTAAAACTTATTTGTACTTTATTTCTACAATGTCAGAGTGATTAAATCTGTCAAAGCTACATGAGCACTGTTTTTAAACTGAAATAAAATAAAAGTAAGATTTGTCGCATAAGACTTGCGCTTTAATTTATTTATTCGATGACTTTCCTGACTGAGGAAGCTAAAGCAAATTATCATTTTAATATACCACCGAGAGATTAAATTTTTGTCTTTGTTGTTTTTATTATTATTATTATTATTACTTAACACTAACACTTTATCCTTCATTTTCCCTAACACTAGAATAATACCTATCACTTATTCAACACTCTTAGAAGGAAAATCTTTATCTTATGATTGATATTTTCTACAATCGGAGTGTTCACAGTGGAAATTTCCGGGTTACTATATATGGTTTATTTTAACACCATTTGAATTAAACGTATTCACTATTTCTAACAGTGACTGTGTGTTACGTAGCATTTCTTATTCTTATCATATTTGTTAAAACCCCTTATTAGTTTAATATTTGTACTTATAAGGAGTTCGGGAACTAAACCTTGAAGTGGTTCTTGCTACGTAGCTATAAGATGTAGGAAGCATCAAGGAACTGATAAACTGTAAATAGTAAGAATGGAGAGAAAAAAATGTGAAAATAAAACTCGTATATCATGCTAAATTTAAAATACATAGTTAAAATATTTTATTCAAACGAAATTTCGAAAAGCAATGTACATGTTGTTCGAGAATTCAGAGGTGGGAAATATGCAAAATGATTAGTATTAGAACGGCAGTATTAAAAAATAATTCTTACGCTGTAGTCATGAATATATTTACATTAAAATTTAGGTTGAAGATAATTGATTTGTAAAAGGAGCATATAATTGCTAAACAAATGAAAGCTGAGGATCACAAAAAAAAAATTATGATTTGCACAGTACCGTGTGTAATAAACAAGCCAAAATGAGCTAAATTAAGACAGTCAAGATATTTCAATCTAGAATTGCTTTCTTTTAACCAGTGTCATTAAAAATTATTAGAACACATTTTCACTATAACACATTTTCACTATAAATTCCCCAAAATTCTTCAAAAACATTGCAACATATCTAGATAACATTATTTTAAGAAATGTGGAAGATTAGGACTCAGAAATTGCATTGTTTTTTACTTTTTTTTAGTCTTTTGTAGATTTTTTTTTTTTAATGGCGGGCACTTAGGGTTTGTTCCATTGGCCACAGAAATGCCAGAACTGCTACTCTCTTCTCGTTACCCAGTGGGCACCTGTTGCGAAACCACGGCGGTGGAGCAGCGTCGTCCACGTCACACAACCACTAACCCGTTTTTTATAGGGTGGGTCACATTTCTCAAATTCACACAAGGAGGAAAGGACATAGAACACAGAGAGAGAAAGAAACATACATGCCCTGAGCAGGATTCGAAACCGCGGCCAATGGCTCCACAGTCAGACACGCTAACCACTCGGCCACCTGGTCGACTTTTGTTGAATATGAAATTAACTGTTCGGAGTAGTATGAAGGTATAGAATAGATGTCCTGAAAATTTGAAAAGAGAAAGACGTTAATAAGTAGAACTTTTTTACTCCTCATTATAATCTTAGAATGTTACGAATATTAGAGTTGGAGAAAACTGAAGTTCCATTCTCAATAATGAAGATTTCTATAAATCGAGCCTGATCATCATTCACTTCGAAAACAAAATATCAGTAGAGAGATAGGCAGAAAGTTAAAGTTTGATCCGGCCGTCCGGTTTCAGAAAGCTTCTCATTGTTTATATTCAGTTAACCATTCATAAGGTACATATTAAGTCAAGATATTTAGATGTTGATGACTGTGTGATTCATGCGTTAGAACCAATTGGCGGAAAGAATTAATAATAATATAACTTTTTTTTAACTTTTTTTACTGTTTAATATAATAATTTCTTTTTTTTCATTTCGTAAAATGTCAGGATTTAATGAACCCTCACACTGTATGCACTATTGGTTTCGAGTGACACTGTAACACTACAATTTGGAATAAAATATTTAGCGTTTTCATCTGGAGGGAGAGCACTTGAGCCTGTCATCCAGTAAGTTGGGTGAAGATCAATAGAGTTCCGAAGATGCCAGGAGTATGGTACTACCATCATTACCTGGATACCAAGGTGGAGTATCGTTCAAACTCACTAAATGACTGTGTAAGTAATGACGGGAACCAACTGAATCAGAAATTTACCTTTCTGCTCGATAGCGAGCGTTATGTTTCTTAATTAAAGATGATTAAAGTTTCAAAGGGGATCGTTCATAAAGGAAGTTATATTTGTAAGGAAGAAAAAGCTCGTAAAAATATGACGAGGGGATGATAAAAAGTTTGACATCCCACATTTTGGCTAAAATATATATATTTTAAACCAACAGATTTTAAAAAAAATTATTTATTTCAAATCTTTTTTTTCTCACCTTTTTCTTCAAAATAAGCACACATCTAATCTTATATTAGTGTTACGCTCACAATAATTTCAATAAAATAAAGTTTAAAAATAAAATTTGAAAAATAAAATTTGAAAAACAGTTTTGACTACGAGACGCACACTACAGATGGAGAAAAAATGCATTTACGGTGGTGTATAATAATTTATTGCATAAGCTTTCTTTTTTAAACTCTTACCATAATATAGAAGTTTAAAAAATATTGAAAAAAATCTAATGTTCTAAAAGAACATTACAAACAAGTTACAGCAAAGAAAAAAGGCGTTAAACAATTAGGTAAAACGAACAAACTTGTACCAGATATTTAATCTAAAGAGGAATTATAAGAAAAAAGTGCAAAAGAGTTTCCCATTTAATGTATTAGTGGTCACTTTATTTCATTTATTTTAAATAATCCATCTAAAATAAATTATTAAACACACCAGCATTTATCCATTAGACGTTTAGGTTTCGACCACTAAGTTTCTTTTTTCTAAGGTCCCGCATTGGACTGATCGTACAAACACGGTTCTCAGTAGAACACCGAAGTCTAGCATCACTGGCTGCGCTCATGCAGTAAGAGGGTGGGCAACCACTACGATCAGCCTGCATAGGGGCCGAGGGTGCGTGGTATCGATCCTGGTTAAATTGTTCTTCCGTGAAATGCTTGACTTCACGTGCAGGTCATCTGGCTACCAAAGCAGGGGTGCCATCCCCTCCGCACAAGATCAAAATTGTGATGATATGTCTTCGTATCATCCTCAGGGATATTTCTCAGACAGTCGCCAATAGCCCATTGTGCAGATCTAGCGTGACGTAAATAAAGAACCTACCTACTTTCGTTGAAAGGTGATCAACGTCCTCAAAAAACTGAGAAGCTGGTAGCAGAATTTTTTAAAGAATATTCGAAAATTCACCTTTTTTACCGTTTAAACAAAATATTTCCGTTAGAGAATCAATGTGACGATTCTCTATTCTTAGAATATTAATTTTTAAACTGTAAAATAGTTAATTTTTACGTATCGAAATTTTACGACAAATTTGTGTTACTTTGGGACGCTGGTCCACTTTCTTTTGCCTCTTATTATTCCGATTAAACAAAGAAATCGAAGTTAAAGTCAATTTTTGTATTTTTCGATTTAGTACCTACATCTAAACTTCTTTCATCGGGTGTTTGATAGGATTGTTTTGATTACGAACTTCATTTTTTCGTCAAATATAAATTTCATTTATCATAAAATTGGGGTTATTTCGTTGATATACATTTTACTTTTAAATTATAAGAAAGTATCTATGAACTTATAATTCAAAAATAAACATATGAAATTGCACCAGTACATTGCTAGTCTTCAATATCTACAACAGTATGTTTCATTTCCTGATTTGAGAAATCTAAACAAATAATTCAGTCAAAATTAAGTCTATAAACTACCTTTTATTCTTCTAAAATGAATATTTTATTTTATTTAGAATATTTTATCCGTAGTTTTAGTTGCAATCTAATAATGTAAGCAACGAGGATAAGAAACAAATTAAAATCTGAACTTCCTAATCCCGTGATTTTTCGTGATTATTAATAACTAGGGTATTAATTCAAGTATGATATTTAGAGTTTTAATTCAAGTATTTTCTATAAAATTTGCCGTATTATTTTGTTAAAATATTGTTCATTTGTTACTAAGCATTATATCCATAAGCCACTGAATTTTTTTTTCTTTATAAATTTAGACTGTGCTCAGTTTGCGAAACTGAAATCAGAACCTTAGTGTTACTAAATTTAAATCAAGCTTTGTATTTCTATATATTTTAAATACTTAGTGTGCTAACTCAATTTTTAAACATGCTAACAGTGATTCCACTTGATTTTAGAAACTGTGGATCCCCCAGAAATTCCAAATTTCTATTTAACATATGAATTCTCTACCTCTTTATCCATTTATTTACTTGCTCATTTTTAGTTCGTTTATTTATGGAGAAATATGTAATTACAAAATAAGGAAAAGAGTTATATTTGACCTATTAAGGTTTTTAATTAGGACTGAACACTTGCATAAGAAAAAAGTAATGTAAACTCAGAATTATTCTAATTTCTCTTTCATCAATTTATAAAGATCTAATTTTTCTATAAGCTATTAATAAAGAAAAATTCTGATATATGTAAGGTTTGGTTACAATTTTGACAGGTAATCTGTTGGCATGCTTTTTTTTCCATTTTTGTAATTGATGTTTATTTTTTTCGTTTATTTATCTCCTTGATCTCGTACTCTCCTTAATATTTATTTTTCTTTATTTGACATGCTACTATATGTAAACGGAATCACTGTACTAATCAATGTTTACATTAATTTTTTAATTTATGAAACATCCTATTTGAATGTTGATTTCTTTTAAAAGCATTGATTATTATTTAAAATTAGAGATTTCATAAATGTGTAAATCTACTTGTGTCTTTCTGTGTTTATTTGGAAGTTACAGCTCTCTATGTGCTTTATATTTTTTATTTACTTTTAGTTTGCACCAATTATTGTTACAGTTTGTGTTCTTTAGTAATATTCCTAATTACTGCGACCCTACCAATATGTAAAATACTTTTTTCTATTCCATGGAAGCAATGTTGTTTAGAAGTCTGTAAAATCTCTCTGAACTAAACCATTCACTTAAATATATGGAGACCAGAGTTTTTTACCTTGCTTTTAACAGTTAATTATTTTAAAACTAATTGTTGAATGCTTTTTTTATATTCCGGTGTATTTCCCGTAAATTTTTCTACTTTCAATGGCACATCTCAAGTTACTAAGTCTCATAGTTTTTGCGCAGCAAACCAAAATGTAAAGTTGAAATCTCAGAACAGTGTTAGTGCTTCAAAATTTTTAATATAAAGAAAATAAAATTCATCAAATGTCACTTAGAAACTTCATCCACTTAGCTCTTTAATTTAGTCAGAGAAAATATGAGTAATGTAGATTTGGTAGTAGTAGATTTGAAATTATATTAATTTGTTATGAGATACTTTTTAGTTAAAATTGAATAACTTAACTAAGTGTGAATTGACTGTTTATTCTCTTGTTCAATTTTAATAAAATTATAGGTATGTTAATGATATAATTATGTTGCTTAAGAAAAATCATTTGTTATAATAAATAAATTCTATATATGTCAATGTTATGTAATCAATAGAATTAGAACTTCTGTTAAAAAATTTTGAAGTTATAATTTATTGTTTTTATTTATTAATAATAACAAATGTACATAAATATAAATTGATAAAGTGTATATCAATAAAGTGAATGAAATGAAATTAAAGAACAGTAAATGTAATCCAAAATCAAATATTTATAAAAATATAAAATGATAAAACTACATGATAAAAGATAAAACTAATTTTTTGAGCAAATGATAAAACTAATTTATTGTTAAAAACACTTTTTTGTTGATTTGAAGATACCTGAGTAAATAACTTCACAAATATGAAGACCTACATAAATATTTGTATAATCTAAGTAAAATTTAATTTTTATTAATAAGTAGTTAAGCATTAATTTATGGTGAATAAATGTTTTTTCATGAAAATTTTATGCATTCATGTTTTGATATTTGATTGTGATCATTGTTTTTTATGCTATTTCTTTGTGCTTCTAGGTTTAAAAGATGAATCTACTTACTAAATCATAAGAAGATCTAAACATTTTATAAAATGTCATCTGAAAGTGATTCAGAAGTATTCTTTGATGCTGAAGAAAGTACACCTGTCCGTTCAGTCAAGTAAGTATTTTGTAGTCAAGTATCTTGGCTTTTTCTCTTGTTTTTGCTCCCCTTTCTTTTCTTTTTTATTGAAGTAAAAATATTTTAATTTCATCCTATGTTAAATTAACCTTGTTCCTATCAAGTGTATATGTACATTAAATACTGCTTAGTACATTGAATACTTGACTGAATATTATGTGGAAAACCAAGCATTTTTTTCTTTTTTTTTTTTGCAAAACCTGGATCTAACTGTTTTTAATAAAGGAGAGGTCATAAAAATTAACTAGCTAATAAATTATGCAGACGCCCGGTGGCTGAGTGGTAACGCTTTGCGCTCCCGTGCCACGGGTCTTGGATTCGATCCTCGGNTTTATAAGGTCTGACAATTTTTCTGTCGGAAAAAAAAAACAAATGAAACTTTGCACAAAGTAGCTCCACAGTGCATTTTTTTTCACTTTCCGTTTATTTGCTATTAATTTTAAATTTTTTTTAACGCTAACATGATATAATTGTTTATTAATGTACTAATAAAGAATTTTGCACTTACGACAATTGTTTTATCAACATCTTTGCATTTCACAGCTAAAGTTTCCACGCACACTTTTCGACAGCCGACGTCCTCGGAAAATTGTTGACATTGGATGAACGAAACACACTCTGAGATAGTTTTAAAATTCGAAAAAATGTTTGTAGTAATAGAAGAGACTTCTATCTTCAAATTCCACACATTTTTAACGTGAAATAAACATAATACTGAATAGCAGCACTTGAAAAATGCCGAATTCGAATTTGCACAAAGTAGCCCTGAATGGCGGTACTTGACTGAATATTATGTGGAAAACCAAGCATTTTTTTCTTTCTTTTTTTTTTTGTTGCAAAAACCTGGATCTAACTGTTTTTAATAAAGGAGAGGTCATAAAAATTAACTAGCTAATAAATTATGCGGACGCCCGGTGGCTGAGTGGTAACGCTTTGCGCTCCCGTGCCACGGGTCTTGGATTCGATCCTCGGCCCGGGCAAGGTTAACTCAGCCTTTCATCCCTTCAGTGGGTCGATAAATGAGTACCAAGCATGCTTGGGAACTAAACATTGCAGGTTCCGCATTTAGCTGACCACCCAACCGAAACATCTGCTCCTGCGCTCCAGAGCCCACGGTCAAGAAAACTGAGATGGGCACAGTAGGCCTTGGCCCTCTATGGGCTGTAGCACCACTGAGTGTAGTTTTAATAAATTATGTAACATCAGGGGTCTGTCTAGATTTTTCTGAGAGGTACCTATTTTGTGAAAATTTAGACATAATTTGTGAAAATTAAAAATAATATTAAAAAATCACAAAAATATGGATTTATGGTTTCTTACAGGAAACAGAAATAAAATTTGATGAAAAAGTATTTTGTGAAACCACCATTTTTCTTGAATTTGTGAAGGTACCTCTAAACGGTAGTAAATTAGGCCTGGACAGACCCCTGAACATGTTAATCCATATATTAGTGATGCGATGAAAACTCCTCACTTTGACTAAATAGAACATGTTGAATAGTTGATAGATTTTATTCTGTTATAATTTGTTTTTATGGAGATTTTTTTTGGTGATGTTTAATTTTTACAAATGGCTTAAGAATTATTTATTTCAATTAATATTATTTCAATATTTTGAGTTTGCTATTTAGTATAATTTGATTCTTTCACTATTTTATCAATATGGAAGTCAATAAATTATATTGAAATAAATTAAGACTGTAATTAAATAGGTTTAAATTTTAAAAAATGCAAATTTCGCTGCAGTAAGTATAAAAATCCATCTTAACTTATTCTGCAATAGGAGATTTAGTGCCATAGACAAAGAATAACGAAATTCATTCTGAATTGCAAAACAGATTAGAATTAAAGCATTCAAATTAAAAAATTTTTCTTTTTTGTAGTAAATGTTTAACTTCTGGAAGTAAATTTATTCAAGAAATATTACATGCATAATTTTTTTTTCATCTTTTATAAGAAAATGTTCTGATGTGACAACTTTAATTTAAATTTGAAAATAATAATTTTATAATTTTGTAGGGAGAATTTTTATACATTACATTAAATTGATGTAAAAATACATTTTTGAAGTTTATATATACTTTGAAAAAAAAATCAAAAACCCTGCATTTAATTGTATTTTTTCCCCCTCCAAGTCATTTTTTATAATTAAAATTTTGCTGAAATCTAAAAAGAAAAATTTGGAATAATCAGAAGTGATTGGTATTATTTTGAATTTGTTACCTAAATTAATTTTTTATTCTATTTCAATTTGTTTTAAAAAGGCTCTTGTTTTTCCTAGCTATCTTCTACCTTATCTGTTGCAATGGAAGGGTTTTTCCCTTTTCTGATAGCAACTCTAGTTTGATTGGTTATATTGAACAGGAAAGTTTCTTGCAAACAATAAATTGATCCTATTTAGTTATCTTTTTTCTCTATTCTAAAAAAACTGTTGCTATATTTTATCTAGTATATATACTTAAGTGTTTTTAAAAAATAACAAAATAATGGTAATCTATATTGCAATAATTTTTCAGTTTAAATTATAATAACTATCTATAGTACAAGTGTTTTATTCGCTAAAATAAATTCTACAAAAGTGTTAGGAAATGCCAAGTATGTGAATAGAAGTTACAAAAATTGATTGTAAGTAATACTATAGAATAATATAAGTAATACTATAGAATAAGTAATACTTATTATTCTGTAGAAAGGATAAATGTTCTAATTAAATATCCAGACAGGAGAATGCTCAGTAAACAAAAAGAATCTTCTACCGAAGAATATCTAGAACTGACAATACCAGGAAAAAAGAACCTTCATCCCATTTTAATTCCTCATTAGCTAACAGCAAACAACATTCACTTAATAATTATGTGGTTAAGACAACTGAAAGGAACCAAAAAAAAAATAATTGCCCAGGCTGTGTCAATCATTTTTTATTTTGCATATATTCCTTTCACTGTGGCTGAATTTGATACCTTCTATCAAAAACATAATAAGTATATATCCAGACATGAAACATAACAGAACATGAAACATAAATATCTAGACAAGAAAAAGCCCAGTAAACAATAAGAGTCTTCTACTGAAAAACATTTAGAACTGACGATACCAGGAAAAAAGTAATCTTCATCCCATTTTAATTCCTCATTAGCTCTTCATTTGCTCTTTCTGAGAGAGATTTCTCTACATTTGCATTAATATGGTAGTGATAGGTATGGTAACAAAAAAAGCAGTAGTTTTGATTGACTTATTTTTCATGACCTATAATATTTTTTGTGAGTAATAATTCCTGTTAATGTAATTATTCCTGTCCTTACATGGTTTTTAAGAAAAATTTAACTTGATTAACTGTTTTCCTTACTATAAAAAATTTTTAACTTTTAAGCTTACCTAGTTCTCACAGTAATAGTGTTTTCTTTATTGTTCTATAGTGCAAAACTGGAACTTGTAAAAAAAAAATTTTCAAATTATAAGAAATGTTTTATTTTTTAGAGCTGCTAATAATGAAGACAAAGTCAAAGAAGAAAAAATACGAGATGAAAAAATTTGTTCAGACACTGCGAAAACAGTTGTATGTTTTATTTATTCTTATTTGATATTTATGAAATATATTGATTTCTAAGTTTTTCTGCCATAGTTTAAAAAATTTTAACTGATTGTAAACCTGTTGAAATCTTATTGATCTTGTTTAGTAGTTATTATTTTAATAGCTGCATTACTTTATTAGTTTTGAAAATATTTTTTCATGCTTAGTTCAGAAAAAAAATTTTATATAATTATTTAAATAACATTTTTTAGGAACTATTTTGATTAGAGATTTTTATGTAGCTACTTGATAAAGACAGCAATTAATTTGTAATGGCTTTTTTTATTAAAATAATGTTATATTACTTTAGTAATTTAATTAACAGTATATTATCGTAAAACCTTTATGGTTATTCGTGTTAAAACTTAATCTTTTTCTTTTTTTCCCACCATTATAAGCAAAACAAAAAAAGTGAAAGTAAACATTCCACTTGAATGATTAATTGTTAAATTATATGACATGACAAATTTCTATTCTTCATTATTCCATCTGATTAGTAAAACATATACGAATGATTTTCATAGCCTGTTTGATTTTTTTCATAATGACAATTTTCAAAAATGTAATTATTGCTATGATGCTATTGAATTCTTATTCATGTTATCCTAAATGGTGTTGATATAATGTGATGTTGTCTTTATAAGTTAATCCTGAAATTGAATTCTTTTACATCTATTTTAGGGTGAACTTATTGCCGATGATTGTGATGTTACAAGTACTATCACTTTGCCAAACATGACTGTAAATGAAGAGGACTTAAAGGTTTTATTTTCTAACCTTATAAATATTATACATTTATAATTTATAGCTGTGTTACATTTTTAAAGCATTAAATTTATTACCTATCTAAAAATGATTAATTTCTAGTCACATTAGTGTTTATTCATTTTATAAAAGAATAAAAAGTCTTCAAATTATAATCTATCTAGTGCTTGTCAAATTTAAATCTATTGTGATTATGGGAATTTCTATTTAGCGGTATCAACTCTACAAGTTTAGAGAAATCTTTTTTTTTTCTTTTCTTAAAAGATGCCTTAATAAGTTAATATGGGGTATCCAAAGTTTTATGAGCAGGAAAATATCTTAATATTCACATTTTGAATTTTTGTGGAACCTGCTGCTGTCCACTGCACACATTTAGTTAACTTCAAAAGCCTGTTTTGTGAAACTACGTTTTTCAAATCCGTTGAACTCGTAACTGAAAATTTTGCAGTTTCCATGAATTAATACATTTATTGTGGTATTTTTCCTCTATTTTCTGTTTCTCTATTTAATAATATGTTTAGGAAGAACTATTTTGAAAAACATACTTTTTTAAATGCCAGTTTTTAAATTAGAAACTTCAGCAAAAATGTCATCACATACCTTTAAACAGTGTTTTTAGAAATTGAAATGAGAGTTTTCTTTAATTTTTATGCATGTAACTATGGTATTGATTTTATAAACCTTTATCTTTGCCATGTTGTGATAAAATTGAACTTTTTCTCAGGAAGCTGCTCGAAAAGCTAAAGACAACGAACAAAGACGGAAGAAAGTGGAGGAAATGAGAAAACTCATGCTTGATGATGATGATGTGTTAGAAATCCATTCTGAGACTAGTAGTTTAGCATCATCCTCTGTTGAAGGCATATATCCTAAAAATAATAATTATGCATTTAAAAAGCCAGATAGAAACTCTAATAATGAAACAAGCAGTGTTATGAGCTTAGGTAAAGTTGGTTCTATCCTTGGTGAACGTGATCATCCTAATGTAAAAGACTTGGATTCTGTGTCCGTTGATTCAAAATATTCAACTAATGACAGAGAAAGTTTGAGGAGCTTTTCTGCTAATTCTCTTCTAACTTCTTCAAAATGTTCAGAGCCTGATGTTGTTGCTAGCACTAAAGGTGAACAAATGCTTCAACCTGTTGCTCCACCAAGAAGAAAGAAAAGAAAAAACCCAGGTCTTATTAAATCTGCATCAGTGGGTACCAATTTCCAAATCCTGATTTTTCTTCTTATTTTTAATAAAAAATATGATAGATGATATAAAATGTCCTGATTTGTTAAAATCATGATTTTTTTCTAAATGTAAATCACTTTTTTTTCCACATTTCGCAATGAAAGTTCTGATTAAATTTATGCTTAAATTTTATTAATATATATTTTATTAAAATAATGCTTAAATTTTATTAATATATCATCAATTAATTATTAGAAGTATTTAATGGTTGACACTAAATTAAGAAAAACTGTGTTATGTTAAATGAAGAATAAATTAATTTTGATCAGAAAACGTTAAAAAAATTGTTTTAAAATTTTTTTGTTATAAGTGTTATATTTAAATAAGCATAAAACTGAATAAAGATAATTGAAATATCTGCTTAATAGTAAAACAGCAATTTTGATAAAACTCATGGAAAATAGATTAGGTGAAAAAAGAACAAAAAGAGTTTTATCACAAAAATTGAGATATTTTAGTATTCAGATTAATAAGGTTCATACCAGTAATGAAAATTTAGTAGTCCAATAAGGCCGCCTAGGTATTCATGTAGTGGTCCAAAAACTTAATATGGTTGACAGACTTGAGGGGGGTATTGAATTTTACAATTGCATCAATAATGTTATGGTACACATCAAAAATTAATAATTACCACCTATTATATCCTAAAACTAATTTAGTCTGTTATCCCATAATGATTAAATATTAGTATTTATTTAAATTAAATTAAAAAAAGCTTAAATAATATCAGTAAACAGATATAAATTTATAGTAAAAGATTTAAAAAAAACTTAGTATATTAAATTTTTTAATTAAGAATCTGTATTTAGTATCTTATTTTGAGGTCTCCCAATTTTGACAAATTGTAACTTTTAAACTGAGTAAAATGCAGTTAAACAAAATTTACTCTTATATTTTTAAGAATTGATTCATTTTAAAATATTCTTTTAAAGTAAATTTCAGTAACTTAAAATTTGTGTTATTAATGTGACTAAAAAATTTAATTTTTTTTTTTTTTTTTTTTTTTTGAAGAATTCAACAATAAATTCCAGTTCTGACTTACCTAGTCCAACAGATCCTGTTGAAAGTCTTGCAAGAGAACTAGAATTTTCTCTTGACTTACACAGTGCCACCAGAGGTCAATATGTTGTAAAACCTCAAGTAAGTTTGAAAGAAAAAATGCTGATAATGTTTTAACTAAGTCAATTTGATAAATTTTGCAGGTAATATTTTAATACTTAAAATGATTTTAACAATAATTTTTTTATCAAAATTAATGGTCAATGTTTTTTTCTTTTTTTTTATCACCTAATTTCATTTCATAGCATTAACTAATGTTGTCAAATTATTTTTCTTTATTCAAACTTAACTATTATTTTTATGTATCTTTTTCAGTCCTATGAGGAGATTAATCACATCTTTAGTGAATGAAAAACTTGAACTCTTCTAAAAAATAATTGCAAACCTGTTATTAATTTGAGAGAGTAATTAAGAGAAAAATGTTGCTTCAAATAATATTTCAAAAGTCTTATTGTAAATATGGTTAGCATGAGCACATTATTAAATATAAATTATTGCCATCATAAAAAATTTTTATATTTTTTATACTTCAAAAAATGGAAGTAAAGAACATCATAGTAAGTAATTTTGTAAGGCTGGTCTGTCTTGGTAAAAATTTACAATTAAGTGTCCATCTTATTGTGACAATTTTTTTATTTTTGCTAAAAACGGGTAGAACTTTTATTTTTTTGTTAATTACGGGTATGAAATTCTTCTACTGATTTGCTATTTTTTTCCTTTTATCACTTTACTCTTTTTCTAATTTTTTCAATCAATTATGGTCTATTTCTTATAATATTTCTAAGAAAGTTGAAAAGTAACCAAGCTGTCATAAGCTTTTGGTTTTAAGCCTTTGAAAAAGTTTTAATAGTATTTTTCGGCAAGTAAATTAAACTGTTTTTTTTTAGTTTATTTTATTTATTTTGTTTTATTGATTATTTATTTTTCAAGTGTTGGTCATTTAGCTTTGTTTTAAAATAAAACAAGAAAGAAATATGTATATTTACTTGCGCCTTGCTAACTGAAAAATACCAACTAATCAAATAAAGCTTTAAATCATTGAATTCATGAACATTAAGATCAGGTACTGACAAATTAATTTTTCTAATGTGTTTTATATGGGAATTTTTCACGGATTAATTTTTATAAAGTTATATTTTGTCAATCAAACTATAGTCATGTTCATATCAATAGTTTTATTTTTCTGTATTAGTATAACCTTAATTTTAATCTAAATTTTGTTTCTAATATTACAAAATATTTTGAACATATTTCAAATGCTATAATTTCTAATCTGTTGATAAAATAGTAATTTATCAATCCTCTTGAATTTAAATAACTTACTGTGCATTATTATTAGATAATGCAGCACACGCATCAGTTTTCTGAATTTTTTTTCAATGACATTGTTTTAATTTTTTATTTCACATGATTTTCCTCTTTTTCTTCCTTTTTGCACTCTTATGTCTGTTCTGATGAATTACTATAATGGCAGAATAGGTATTCCTTACCTGAGTTTCAGTGTATCCTAAATTGTGAAGTGGGCATTAGACAAAATATGGCAAATGGAAGAACCATATGTAAAGAATTTTCAAGGGTAAAAAGCATTTTGAATTGATAAAGTATAACTAATAGGCTGTACAATAATATCAAAAAGATAACACCTTTTACCCTCCATAGAGTACCAAAGCTTATTTTGGAGTGCTGTGTGCATGACTAATTGATGTTTTGTTTGTTACCATGATGAATTAATTTCCAAAAAGTTTGTGTGCTTTTTACCTTGACAAAACTCTAAACTTACTCTTCCCTACCTGTTATGGTTTTTGGTAAATCATATTAAATGACATGTGACAGCAAGGTCAAACATTGCTCAAAGACTTTTGAAAACTTAATAAAGGTATGTGTTCCTAACTTAGAACAAAGAACTTTAAACTAAATTAATAAATAGGCCAAAAAAAATTGCTATGTTCTCATGAATTTTTTTTTTTAATATTTATTTGTATTTAAATTTAATTGGAGTGGCATATAAGGGGTTTTGAATACATTGAATTATTGAAAAAAATTTTAGTAGAATTTATTTTGTGCAAAAATATTGAAATATGTAATGTATAGTAATTTCATTTAATGATTTTTTTACCATGCTTCTGTATGACGAAGTAATTTTCTAAAAGTTCAGAATTATTTTAGTATATCTTTTGTTTTGGTTTGTAAATAATTAATCCAATTATGTTACATTAAACGATTATTATTCATAGGATAGAGAACAAGATAGGGCAGAAGGCCCAGTTAGCAACTGTGCTAGCAGTCAAAGTTCTCTGAAGTTACGATCTGACAGTTTAGGCAGTAACTCTTCAAAAAAGTCTCACAATATTGGAGAAACATCAGACTTGCTTAAAGGGCCTGTGGAAGATGTTAAACAGCAACCCTCTCTAATGGTACGAACTAGGTCTGATTCAGGTCGACCCTTAACTGATGAGGTATGAATGATAAAAGTTTTATTCTTTCTGTGAGCTTTGTTTAAATTATTTTTCAATAATTGAAGTTAGAAAAATAAAAATAATTAATGCCAAAAAATTTTATCTTCAGGATCTTTTCATTATTAGTCTCTACATAATTGTATTAGTTTATGACTACACTGAAATATCTTTATTTGTTTTTCAATGTCGCAATTTTAGTTTTTTCTTCCAATTTTGTTGATAGGCATGCCAAATTAAAGTTGTTCATATGATTTATTTTTATCTATCTTCACACTAACTTTATGATTAACAATTCATTTTTATCTTTATTATCAATGTTTTAAAAATTTATGTTGACAAAAGTATTCAATAACTCCTTTAAAATCAATTTTTTAGTTTAATAAAAACTACTACTTTTTTAAAATGTTTTATATTTAAGTTTGCTAAAAACGCACAAATAAAAGTTAAACTAAAACATATACATTGAAATATATCTTTTTTCTTTTTTTAGATTTTTGTTTAATTATTATTATTACTATCATCGTCATCAATGGCTTGACAGCCCTGGGTGGGCCTTAGCCTTCTCAAGAAGTTATTTTTAATGGGTTTTTTATTATTTTATTATTTTTCCAGCTTTTCCTTTTTTTACTTATCAGTAGTTTACTTATCTTCTAAGTTAAGTTTAAAATTGCATAATTATAAAGACGAACATTAATTGCTGCATATCTGTACATTATTAAACCGTTATCAACAGTAACAAAGTTATTCTACAAAAGTAACTCTTTCTTCTAACGCTAATTAATCCTGACTGACTTATAGTTTTATATGTTAACTTCTTGATTGCGTTGACCACTGTGATAAAATAAAAGTTTCTGTGATAAAAATTATCTCAGTTAAAAGACTTATTAATTTTATACCTTACTGNACATAAAATTTGCTCATCACCTTCAACTTCTAAATGCAACAAATTAGCTACTGAAATAAATTCTTTTAAAGAGAGAAAAGCTAACAAATTTTCCTGATGTTTTTCGAAATCAAAATTATCAGGAAATGCTGAAAAGTTTCTTATCTTTTTTCTCGATGTTCTATCGAAAATAGGGAGTGCTAGTACGGAATTTAAAGCTTTAACAGCCTGAGTAGTTCCGTACTTTAAGGAATTGGCGATTAGGGGGATGTCTCCTAATTTCAGTGCCATTATTAGTTTACAATGAAAATTTAAACAAATCGAAATTAGATAAACAGAGATTAAGAATTAAACAATTCAAAACAAATTAACGCGGAAATTGGAACTGTTCAAAATTACTAATCTTTTGAATTCAATTCTATTTAACATAAAAAATTCTGAATACGAAATTAATAAAATTTCGCCTACCTTGGTATTGGGTGCAGTCCGTCCGTCAAAAAAAATATTGTAACATATCGTCTTTTAATATCGCCCAGTAGAAGAACTTCATTTATTGCCTTTAACACAACACGTCTGTTTGTTAACGTCTTAATGCAATTCATCAAAATAAAATGTCGAACGTCTTTGGTGCATTTTTTTTTCGACAGCTTCAGGTATCTAGGGGTATTGTTGTCTTAGGATTGCAGGAGGGAAGGCCGTGCCCCCAAAATATGGCGGAAGGCAAGGAGCATCAGAACTACGTTAAGTAACATTTATTCACATATAGGACATAACACTGGACAATACTCAAAATAGAAGACACTTAACTTATTAGAAGAGGCCGTCTGCCTCGTCGGCTACCATCATTCGATGTGTGTGTGGAGGGAAGGGTGTGCGCCATGATATGCGTGGGGAGGGTGCGCAATGATATATGTACGTGTACATGACGTATGGAATACGCTTCCCACATTATTATTACTATCATCGTCATCAATGGCTTGACAGCCCTGGGTGGGCCTTAACCTTCTCAAGGAGTTATTTTTAATGGGTTTTTTTATTATTTTATTATTTTTCCAGCTTTTCCTTTTTTTACTTATCAGTAGTTTACTTATCTTCTAAGTTAAGTTTAAAATTGCATAATTATAAAGACGAACATTAATTGCTGCATATCTGTACATTATTAAACCGTTATCAACAGTAACAAAGTTATTCTACAAAAGTAACTCTTTCTTCTAACGCTAATTAATCCTGACTGACTTATAGTTTTATATGTTAACTTCTTGATTGCGTTGACCACTGTGATAAAATAAAAGTTTCTGTGATAAAAATTATCTCAGTTAAAAGACTTATTAATTTTATACCTAACTGAGATTTCATGTTTTTCCATTTAATAATACATTACTGTTAGTTCATTACATAAATGTTAGTTTGTTTCCTTCAAAAATAACCCTTCTTAGATATTTTAAGTGCTTGACTGATATATACTCATCTTCCGAATTGTATTCAAGATTACTAGAATATAAGCATAAACATTTATTGCTTTAAATCCACTGCTGGAGTAAGTTGTTCAACCATGGTGATAAAACGAATTGCTACTAAATTTTTAAGGCTATTAAGTGCTACATTTTTGTATCGATAATAACTACTGAGCATTTTGCTAATGGTTTTTCTTAATAGTTGCTTGCAGTATTTATTATTTTAATTAGATCGCTAATTAGATGGAAAAAAACTTAAGTAAATATTTTTGTACTTGTCTAATTTTGAAAATATTTATTTCATTGCAACTTTAAGTCCATCTATGTAATGTTATGTTCATAGATTACATACATTAATTAACAAATTTTTTTGCATCAGAAGCTTGCCAAAACAGCATTATTCATGTATCTTTTTTTGTCACAAAATAATTATAAATTAATTTATCAAACTAGAAATTGGCTTCACAATTCTGCTATAAGGAAAAACCATTTTTAACATCAGAAGTACTTAACAACTACTCATTAATAACAGTAATATATTATTATTATGCCTGAAAATATAATTGTCCTACTATAAGTTGCGTTTTTCAACTAGTAATTTATAGTGTTTGAAAATAATCTTAGTAATTACTTTTTAAAAATTATGTGCTGATTATTTTCATAATCTGAAGGAAACAAAATTTCCTTTACATTACATTTATTTTCTACTTTAAGCTCTTTGAATTTATCTCTAACCTCATTAAATTTCAATTCTAGGAAATTTTGGCCCAAGTAACTGTCAGAAATTTGGATACTGGTGAGCAAATTCCTTTGAGCCAAGCAGAAGATCATTTACCAAAATGCCTAAATCCATTATCTCTTCACATAATGCGTTTGACATCTGAATATGTTAGGTGGGCATTATGCTTTGTAGTTTTGACTTTATCACATCAAAATTAAATCTCATTTTTGTGAATCTAGTGCTATGGATGCAAGTTTTTACTCTGATTTATTCAAATACTCCAATGTTTCAGGAAATTAGTTTAGAATTATTTTTATTACCATCTGCTAATTAATGTAATAAAGTTTTTATATTATATTATTTTTTCAATCTGGTGAAGTATTATGGTGTCTTTGTCCTATAAAATTAACTTTCATTCTAGGACTATTAATTTTATGGTCTTAAATTTGCATTGTTATATTTGTAAAAAATTTTTCATTTCTGTGCTAATGCCATTTTCTTTTACGGGGAAAAATGACTAGCAGTCAATTACAAACCTTACAGACATTTAGTTTTTTTTTTTTTTTTTTTTTTTTTTTTTTTTTTTTTTTTTTTTTTTTTTGACTGAAAAAACTGATTTACAATTGTTTATTGAGTTCTCTAAATTTTATATGAAAAAAATCTTCTTCCTGCTTAATATTTTCACAGTTATAAATAATTTTTTATTTAACTTTTTTTTTACATAACTGATTTTAAATGTTTGTGAATTCATGAAAATTTTCTTTATTTGCCTACAACATTAAAAGTCTGGCCTTTTCGAGATTTTTAATTATTGATGACGTATGTCCAATCCATGAAGCCAGGGCTTCAATCCTTTGATTCATCTGATTTCTTGGTGGTAACTGCAAATAAACTTCAAATTACTAATTTCTGGTAAAGTTTGAACTTTCAACTAATTGTATGTTAATTATATAAATATTGTATGTTAATCATCTCAAAAAGACTTCTGAAGCATTCATTTAAAAGTAAACTAATGAAATCCAGATCTAAGCTAACAAAAATGCAAAACGTTTATTACTTTAAAACTCCTTCAACTTGCCAAATATTACAGATGAGTTGCTTTAAAAAAATTCTCCCAAAAACTAAGTGTTTTACACATTTATTCTTTCAATGTTGATTGAATGTTGCTGCAGTAAACTATTCCCAGTTGGTTTTTATAATAATTATTTTTAGTTTTTATAATAATTATTATCAGAAATTGAAAATCTGCATCAATAGTATTTTTAGTTATAAAGTATGTATGTTCTTATACATTTTTGTTATGGTTAAAACTATATATCTTTATTTCTCTCATTTTTTAAAAACTACATTTTTTTGCACTCATAAAAGTTTATTTTAATCACTTTAAGAAGTTTTATTCATTCATTATATTTAAAACTGTACCAAATTCTTATTTATTAATGAAAAAAAAATTGTTTTTTTTTTTTTTCATTTTATGTTTTAAACACGCTGTATCTTTCCGGTAGAAAGGTCAGGTTGTAACCAGATAAGTTAACTTTGCAAAATTTGCACAAACATTGCCTACAAAAATGCTTTTATGTTGCTCAAGCAATAGCAATAAAGTGCTAAGCATTCCGAAATTACATATATAGAAATTATAAATACCTAAAATAGCAATCAAAAAGCAAACACAAAAATAATAAAATTGTAATATTTTTTTTATCGCTCATTTTGTCTCATAAAACAGGAAACAATTTGTATGTTAAGCAAACAGAGAAAATAAAGCATGCTAGCTTCAAAATTCAAATAGTTCTGACTGTTTGCATCTGCTTTGAAAGGCTGAATAGAAAAGAGGTGAAAAATATAGAAAACAAAAATTGGTGGAACTTTCAATAGGTTTTTATAGGTTCTGAGCAAAATTAAATAAATTAAGAGGACTAGGTTGTTCGAAATGGAATTGGAAAGTTCTGCACAAAGATAATGTGTCTTTTTTTTTTTTCTTTTGCTTATATATAGGTTTTAAATCACAGGTACCGTATATTCCGGCGTATAACGCGCACTTTTAATACAAAAAATAACATTGGAATTTACGGGTGCGCGATATACGCCGAATATAAAAAATTATAGATTAAAAAAATTTAAATATAGAAAAATACTTTTATTTTAAAGAAATAACATACCTTTACCTATATACTTCATTGATTTTCGTTATTACATAAATAGTTCATTATATTCGTCTTCCGCTATCAATTACAATTATTAAAATTTTTTTGTATTATAATTACAACTTTTTTTGTATTATCTGTAAGGTGGGACCTAAACATGCCCCACTCTAAAAGGCTTTCTGGTTTTCTTACGCAACCAGGACGGATTTGCCAGAAGTTTTTTACCCACAATTTAGCACCATTTTTGTCCATCCAGAATCACATTATTGCTCTTTCAATTCTACCCTCACATACATGTCAAATTCAGTTCTTTTATTTTTGCAAAAGATAGGGAAAAATACTTTTTATTTACGATCTTGAAAGATGAGATATTGCACATGTACAATCCAAATTTTCGTGCGCGTTATACGAAGAGTATATCTTAAAATTTAAAAAAAATAATTAGAAATTACGGGTGCGCGTTATACGCCGGGGCGCGTTATGCGCCGGAATATACAGTAAATTTTTAATGAATAGGCATAGTCTTGGCTTATACATGACTGCCCTTATATTTGGAAATCTATGGTAATTGCTTGTTTAGGCTGCTTTGCGACATTAAGTCTTGAACAATATTTCTTGATTTCTAGCAACACTGCTTTAGACAAAGAATCTGATGATGATAATGGAGAAAACAGAAAATTAGATGCTTTAGATATGGGTCACAAAGCTTGGAATAGAACGTAAGTTGCTTTGACATCTCTATCTGGATTGTTGCTTTGTCATTTTAAGTTAATTTAGTTGTATTACTTGTTCACTTGTCAGAAAAAGAGACATATTAACAACCGATTTTGCTGAATTTTTGCATTTTGCTGTGTAGAATTACATACTTTGATGTAAAAAATTATATACCTTACAAATCAAAATTTTTTCGGCTATTATTTAATAAAATGATAAATATTTAGTAAAATTTATTTTTAACTGAAATTATCTTTGGATAAACGAATTTTATTATTGAGTGCAAAAAATTTTCAATTAGCTTAAAAAGCTCTTGTTGCATGGAGAAATACGCAAAAAGTAAAATTAACATAAAAGGGTCCAATCAAACTATGGAGACCATATTTCCCTGAGTGCGGCTACACCCTTCATTTTGGGGGTCAGAAATCCAAGTCTGCGGGGGGGAGGGGGTATGTTTATTCAGAAGAAATACATTTTTGTGTCTAATTTTGTAAATTCTCTGCACTTTCTAATTAGCATATTTAAGGTCACCTGCTCATACCATTAAAATTGACTTTTGGAACGTGAAGATTGAAAGTTGTTCAGGGTGGTCCAATTTTTTTTAACACACTGTACATTTGTCAATATGTTATAGAAAATCATGTGAAAAATAAATTTATTCGGATAATAGCTCTTGAAAGTAAACAAAGATCAAAGGATTGCAAAGTTTGAAGACTGATTCAAATAAAGGAAAAATTTATAAATTTCTCTTCCTAGCTAATGCGAATGGAAAATATTCACACTTGATTTTGCTCTCCTTTTTGGTATGATTTGATATTTTTAAAAGCATTCGATTGAGTTTAATTTTACCATCATAGTAGTCACTTACACTAAAAGGAAATTTAGGATTTCTTGCAAGGTTTGTCAAAAAAAAAGATCCTATTACTATTATATTTATTTGCGAAAACCACATTTATATGTAACCCTAAATCTAAAACTAATTAGTGTTGGCTGTAAAAACAAAAATAGCATATTCTTCTTCTGTAAGTTTTTCTGTCCCATTTCAGTAACTTTAGGTAAATAATTCTCACAAAAAATGCAGTCTCATGTGCATGAAGATTAATTAAGTCCTAAGACTGCTAACGAAATGGAATTTTAACCATAATAAAGAAAAAATAAGTTTTATGAAAAGATCATTTTTGAAGTGGGAAAGTCCAGCTCCTTCTTTCATCATGAAGGGCAATTTTCTTTCTAAGGTTTGCGAAGGATCCTTAAACATTCCTAATTTCTATGCAGATAAATACCTGAAAATATTTCTAATTATCTTGATTTTATAAGTTTTTTTATAAAGATAAATAATGAACCTTTATAATCTGATAGACATTGATTTTCTGTAGTAGGTTTGATTCCTCTTACTTAGGATAATAGAGATTCTGCTGTTAATTACAGGCAAAAATTTAATGAGAATTTATGTCCATATTGAAACAAAAACTAATTCTTAAACTTTTTTTTCTTCCAAGAAATATAATTGTTTTAAATTAGTACTTATCAAATTTTTCTACTCCTATAAATCTGTCGAAACACATTTCGTAATATGAAATTTGTTTGGTCATGCTTTCATCATCTTTGAACATTGGATAGAATTAATGTTCAGTTGCAATTAATAATTAGTTGTGGATTCAATTAATATCTAATTAACTGTATACACAACTTTTTTTATCATTAGAAAAATATAAGCAGGGTCATCGTTGTAGATATTCAAAAATTATTAACTATTTTTAAAAAAATTGGAAAAGTTATGTATCATAGTGTAACTAAAAAAAGAAAATTTAATGCACCAATATTCAAACTTATCAAGTACTTAAGTTTGTTTAGTTTAATCAGTTAAGCATAATGAAATAAGTTTACCAATAATATGTTGAGACAAAAATTACTTTGGCTATACAGTCAAGTATTTAGGATATTTTTGAAGTATTTGATCCTGTTTAAAATTTTATTAATGTATTTTTATTCTTAATCCAATTTGAAAAACTAAAATAGCAAAATAAAGTTTTTCTTTCAGGCGTGACTTGGGTAAACGATTGAGACATGAAGTCAGTAAAATCAAGACTGTTGTTAAAGATAAAGGTAGAATAATTTTTTTGCTAAATAATGCCATTTAAGATTTTTTTTAAAATCTGTATTGTATTTTGATTCTTCATTTTAACAGAAGCATTTGCTCACTAAACCTTAGTCAGCTCAAATTTTCATTCAAAGCAATTATGAAATAAATGTTTTTTAAAAATTGTTTACTTTGTGTAATTTTTATTTACCCTGATTAAAATAACTTTTTTATTGAACGGTTATTTTATAATATGCAGCAACAATATTAAAATCTATTTAATGGTTTTCACCGTAACATCTACTGTTCTTGCAATTATCAGTGATATATCAGAAACTTTACATTGTTTTGTTCATTTGCATGCAATTTTTGAACAATCGAAAGTAAAATGTTGTTTGTCTACCTTTTGTGAGAGAATGAACTTCTCACTAGTAGTAGAATAATCAACATTCCATAAAATACCTTTTAAAAAAGTTAAGAAAAACTCCTTGTTAAATTTGAGTTACATGTGTAAGATTTATAATTGTCCTGATTTTCTTGATAAATAATGTTTTTTGTCCTAATATTCTTAATTTTTGCATATGTTCTGAACATCCTATTTTCTTGGAATACAAATGCAGATTTTAAAATAATCAATCTGAAGAATTAAAAGATTTGAATTTTCATTCCAAAATCTTTTTATTTTGATTAATGATCGTAAAAATCGCAACATTGTATAACTCTAACTTAAGGATTGTCTACTAATTATTTACATCATTCAGGCTTCTAGCCTCACCTACAAAATTCACTTTTAAGAGTCCAGCCATTTTATGGAAAAAAACTCAGTTAAAAATGTCGTTTATCAAATTTCTACGATGATATAAAGGGTCATAAGTTTATTATTTTCAGCAAAATGCAATTACCAATCTTGTAGTTGTAGTTTCACAATTATTGATTCGGCTATTTCATCTGATTTAAGGGTATATCAACTAATTGATAGTTTCTTTTTATTTATTTTTATTGCAACAATACTAAATGACATATTTACTTTATTTATTTTTTTGAGAGATCGTCCATCAATTTATTTCTGTTAAAAAATGTTAAATGGCATATTCACTGTGCTTTTGTTTTAAGATTATTGAAATTTTGAACTGAAGCATGAACTTTATTTAAAAATTAATAAAAGGGAATATCAACTAATTGATAATGTTTTTTTTCTGTTTTTCTTTTTTTAATGCAATAAAACTATAAAAAAATTTACATATTGATTTGAAACCATTATGTGTTGTTCAATGTTCCATTAATAAAATTATATTGGAAATTGTTAAAAGCAAGTATGAAATTAAAATTATTATGGAATTATCCTTTGGCCACAAAATTTGCCTTTATTTTACTTAAGTTTGAACAAATTATATATATATATATATTAGTTTTCTCTTTTAAAAAATAGTCTAATTTTTTTTCTTTTTTCAATTATTTTTTCTTTGGCGCACTATAAAGCCTTCGTATGTAATAAAAGGATTTTCTGTAGGCTTTTTAAGCCATCTACTTATTAAAAGTTTCCTTGTTCAATCAAATATGTATTTAAATTAGGGTTTGCAATAAACAAGTTCGACTGCAATGACCTTAAAGGAAAAAACATTTTTTAATATGTTTCAGTTCTCTTTGTTCTTTAGTGTTTTTTTTTTATTATTTCTGTTTTGGGTGTTTCGATTCTGCTTGGTATTTGATTATTTTATCGCAACTGTAGTAGTTATGAATATTTTATAAAAATGATTCAGATAGTGTGTTTTTTTAATTCAAAAAAATTAAGACTATGATTGAAAACTTTCCAAAAAAAATTCATGTTGATTTATTAGAATAACATAAGGAATATTTAAATAAATGTAATATTTTTATCAATCTGGAAACTTGGTACTTAACTATAAACGATGTTAAATAGTTTAATGTTAAAATATATTTTTCATAAAGAGTGTGGCTTATAATATTGCCCATAGTCTTTTGTTAGAGAAAAGCTTTAAATTTCTTTTTTAAGATTAAAATTTTTCCCAAAAATTTTGATTATTGTTTAAGATTTGTAACAAAAGTTCCTCTGATTCATTTGCTCAAATCGAAACATTTATTCATTTGTTTTACTTATTATTTTAAGTCTCACATGCCCGACATGATGATGATAGTGAAGATGAAATTTTGTCTGATCAACGTTCATCTGTCAAAATCAAAGTATCAAGCAAACTGAGATCAGCTGAAAAAGGAAATAGTGAATTTGAAAGCATAAAAGTCCTTCAAGAGCTTGGTGGAGAACATACTGTAAGTTAATCCTATACTTTGTGGCAGTCCTTATGTAGTTATATATTTATCATTTGTAAAACATTTTTATTAATGATTTTATTAATTTTTATAAATGATTTTTTAAAAAAGTTTTTGTTTTCTTCGCTTTTGTATAGCCATTTAAACTTTTTTCAAGTTAAAATCAGAGTGGGGATTAACTTTAATTCTTAGTTAAATTTTTTTCAGTGGTTTTAAATCAAGATTTAAAAAAAAAAATTGTGTTGCAACAAAAACTGTTTATTATCTGTTTTTATGTATGTAACGTTATTTTAAATTCTATCTGAACTCAAAATTGTCCTTAAATTCTTGAAAAAAATAAAGTGTTCTTAATTATTAAAGTTCAATAAATACTCTGAAAATTTTATGATTTTCTGCATTTTTGTTGAAGTTGTCTGAAAAGTAAATATTATGTTTCTAAAAAAGATTTGAAAAAATTTTTTAATTTAGAAATTTCGTTTTATAGTATGAGCAAATCTAGATAACTCAACCCACGTCACTTCTTCATTGAACACTAAATACTAGTCTACTTCCATTGTTGGCGACATTTGTCTCTGTTTTGATGACAAGAAAGCACTAAGTGTTGAAGGAAGAGATGAAAAGCTCCCTTCTCTCTCTCCCCTCCATAATTTCATTTATGCCAACTGTACTGTTTTTATTGAGGAACCGTCATATTTTGGTACTAACTTGCGATTTTCTGTATAAAGACAATTAAAATTGCAAAATTAAATTCGGGGGTAACTTTTAAAGTAAATCTTAATTTTCCCAAACATATTTCTTTTTTTGCAAAAGTCAACCCCCACACATCTCTCGTCCACTTAACAACCTGTATTTCATGTTCATCGTGATTCAAGTTCATACATTTTTTATATAAAGCATTTCAAATCCTATCCAAGCGGTTTAAATACCACTTGTCACAATTAATATTTACGTGATTTAAAAATCGCTATTTGTATTCATGCAAATGAAAATCACACATTGGGATTCATATTCACGCAATTCGAAATAACACTTTGTGATTTGTATTTGTGCTTGACTCAGATTCAAAATAGTTTAATTTTAGATAAAAATTTCACACAATTTATAATAATAACATTCACATAATTTATAATAATAAGAAAACATTGTGATTCTTGTTTGACTTTGATTGAAAATGGGTTAAATTTTAGAAAAAAATGATGCTCATTTCTTAGAAAGGATGATGAAAGATTAAATCTAGCTTTTTCAAAAATGACATTAAAGTTGCTCAATTGATGGTTGATGTTACAAATGAAAGTATAAGTACTGCCTAAAAAAAAAGTTGCCACTATTCACCATGATTTAGCCAATATAAAAAATAAATATCATGTATCAAAGTTTCCATGTTCTTATTTGATTTTTAAAATAATAAATGCATTTAAATTGATAATTTATCATATTTTAATTAGTATGCATTTCTTTTTTCTTCATTTATTAAGCTATTCCCTTAATCAAATAAATTTTAGAAGATTAATTTTAGTTTTATTTTCATGTTAGAAAGCATTGATATGTTTTGTATCATGTTAATATTATATATTTTAGTATGTATATATATATAGAGAGAGAGAGAGTAAATTACTCAAAATCAGTGTCTAAATTGTCCTTAAATTTCATATTTTGGACTTCCATCCCTGTTCTCTCTTTTCAAAATCTTGTTGACCTACTGTCTGTATATAAATATAATTAACCTATCAACTTTTGCCACTTACTTTAAAATTTTATTTATTGTGTAGTAAAGTATGAATTTTTATGTTGATTTAAAGAATTTGTTTGCAACTTAATACTAGCTGGTCTTTATATCAGCATTAACCATTCCATCAACTTGTCAAAAACCTGATTTCTGCAACTTTTAATATTATATATGCCTCCTTGAAATTTGTTAATGGTCATTTTTCCCCATGATAATTTTATCTTTGTCTTTTAATTTTTAGGGTGCAATATGGACTATGAAATTCTCATCTTGTGGACGTCTATTAGTAAGCCTTATAAAACTTTATTAGATTATTGCTTACTATTTTAGATTTTGATTTAGTTTAATTTTTTTTTCTTTTTGTCAGTTTTAGTTAATGGCTTTAAACGTGAAACTTTCTGTTGAATTTATAATTGTATTAAGAATAAATTTTATGATGTACTTGACACTAAACACTTTGATGATTTTAATTGTTTACATTTGTTTAATTTATCAGTTTATACTCAAATGTTTAGAAATAGGTGTCAGTACATGAAAAAAAAATTTATCAATTATGTAACTATTGATGCATTTTCTAATGTCAAATTTAATTTTTATAAAATTTGATATTCAAGTGTTGTCAAACTAAGTTTTGCAATGTTTTATAAATGGACTCATCATGCTCTTTCTCTCGTGTAATTTAAAAAAAAAAATTAAAAAGCTATGTGATATGAAATATGCTCATGCATATTTCAAATATGCATGAGCATGTGTTCTAGTTAACTTATTTTTTGGTATAAGTCAAATATAGTGTATTAATCTTTTTAAGCCTTCTAATTAAGATTACCATTCATAAAATATTGTGATTGCTTTAAAATTTTATCATGCATTTTTAAAAATTTATTTAATATATAGAAACAGAAATATTGACATCTTGCACTAATAAGACACTTTAATATAATAAACTCTACTATTATTATATGATTTGAGAAATATTGTCAGTTTTGTCTTTAAAAAGTTATCTTAACCTCCTATCTTATCTTTTTTTTTTCTCCTAAATTCTTTTTTATATGTATTTATTGTTTAATGTAGGCTACTGCAGGTCAAGACCATGATCTTCGTATTTGGGTTCTCAAAGATGCTTATAAATATTTCAATGACATGCGGCAAAAATATAATTCAGAAGGTAGTGATGTGTTTCGATTTATTTTATACTTGATTGTTTGTTTGTATCTACAGTTTATAATTTTTTAAGGTTAATGACAACTGTGTTTGCTCTTTTAAATCACTTTATAAAAAGTATTTTGTAAAGAATTATAGCATTTTAGTATTTAAAGAATACATATTCAGCCCAAATAATTCATTCTTATATTTACATTGAAATAAATTTTCGAAAAAAAAACTTGTATACCTGTTAGTTAATGAATAAAGTTTTATTAATTACAGATTAATTATATTTGTCAAACTTTGTATTAATTGTCCTTAAAATGAAACTAATGAAAAAAGTAAAAATTATTAGAGCTTTCTTGTGATTGTTGTATCTAAAATTTATTTTATTAAGTTGAGATAGAATTTAAGTTGTTTAAAGAGTATTTATTGTAGCATTTTTTTTTTAATGTAAGTTGTGTTTTATATTCTATGTGTGTGTTTAATGCATTGTATATTATCTAGTAACTGATCTGAAAACTACAAGATTATCATTGGTGGTGTGCTTTTACATAAAATGTGTAAATTTAAATTTTCTTTCTCATATACAAATTATAAATTTTTTTTAGGCAAAACATCACCTGCTCCTCCTCAACATGAAGTTATAGATATTGAGATAAAAACTGTAAGTAGGAATTATTTTTAAAGCTTCATTGTATAAAAATACCAAGTTCAAACTGTAAGTTGAACGCAAGCCCTTTTTAATGTTTTTTAAAAAAATTCCAAAATATTTTATGAAATTTATAGTAAGATTAATATTTTTTAAGCTATTCATCACATTGACTCGATAGCCCTGCATTCAATAGTATTTGCCCACCTACCGTGTTTTCAGAAAGTGATATATAGTTTTTTGTTTTGAGTTCATCATCTAGGCAGTCTTTCCATCTCCTTTTAAGTCTTTTTTTTTCCCAATATTATTTCATATTCCTCAATATTATTTGCAAACTTGTGGTACTTTTTTTCTTTTCAAAAGTGCTTATTTTATAGTTCTTACAATCACTTACACTATATTAAAAGTCTTATTAATAAACTATATTCTATTTAATTTCATCGTAAAAGTTCTAGTTAGTTTTAGGCAATATTATCTTATTCGCTAATGGTTTAACACTATTTCATTTCTTAAGAAACCAAAGCAATTGAAACTGATTCCTAATGTATTATAGATTATCAATCAGAGTTATCTTTGTACTTTCAAACTTTGTTTTGCAATTCATTGTATAGTAGACAGTTTATATTAATTTATCACAAATTATGCTCTCTTGTTAATATTATATTAATTTCCGTTGGTATGATTTATTTTCTGCTTTAGATACTTTTCTCTTCAATAAAATAATCTTTAATTATAATTTTAAAATATTGTAAATCTATGAAGAATTTGTAATAGGATAACTATTACAAATTCTGATTATCTGATTAATAGTCATTTGACTTTAGATATCTTCGTTATTATATATATTTTAGTATTTCTCTGCCTAATTTTGCAATTTATATTTCTCTATTTTATTATTTAGAAAATAACTTATTGGAGTGGTTGGATTTAAACTGTTAAAGAATTATTTTACACTTTAAAAGTGTGAAAATCTGTAAAAAAAAATATATATTGTAATTTATCAAAATTATATTTTTAATATCTTTTTAAATATTTCCATTTTAAGAACTTTGCATATCCACTGATACGTATATAGTAATAAGAAGAAGAGTATATTTTTATGTATGTGTCAATTTATTTCTCTTATAACTTACAACCTCTTGTACTGGAGTGTTTTTTATTTTGCCTCAGATCTTAATTATTCAAAAATATTAGTTTTTTTTTAATTTTGTGTTAAAAAGATAGCATCAGTGATGTTTGCTGGCTCACAGCTATATTTAATCAAAAACACTCTTTGAAAGTTTATTACATGCCCTTTTAATTATTTGTTTTTAATTCATTATGCCAAGTATTACAAATAAAATCAAAGTAGATGGCTTATGGTAGCACTGCCACCAAGATAGTATTTTGAAAGCGATCTAATACCACATGTTTGTTTTGTTTATTGTTACTCTTTTTAATAATGTTTCTTTAAACTTGAAGTTAATGGTTATTAAAGTTATATAAATTATGTCCTAAAGTGCCAACTAGTCAGCAAATTTACTTGATTGTGGTAAATCTTGTCTATCAAGTATAACTGTGATAATTTGCCTATATATCAGTGCCAAAGGATACTATATATAGTCAATTGTTATTTTGATGAGTTAAACTTTTAAAAATGTGCTTTTTCTAATCTAATAACATAAGGTCACCAGAAAGGATACTAATTAAAAATGTTTTTATTTGTATTAAATTGTGCTGGTATGTGCATTTTAGTTTCCTTTAACTACATTGTGTAATTCTGATTTATTGTATGTATTTGATTATTTTTTTGTCCTGCAAGTGAAACGGATATTCTATCAATTTAAAATTGATTAATTTTTTTTAAAAAGATTTGTAACTTTGCTTCAAATTATTAACTTACTTTTCTCTTTAATTGGTTTGATGCTAACTAATTTTATATAGATTTATAATGAATCTATTTTTAGGAGGAAGATGAAGATAACAAAGGTCCTTTTGTATCCAAACCTTTTTGTAGATATCAAGGTCACACTGCTGAATTACTTGATGTATCTTGGTCAAAAGTAATTATCTTCTTTTAAATAAATCATTGAAGCAAATTAATATTGTAAAAAAACTTACTTAGTGTTAAATTTGACTCAACTGTGGTTTTAGAGAAATTAAAGCAGCATGCATGCATTAAATCGTTTTTTATCTTAACTTTCTTTTATAAAATTTTATTAAACAAAAATGTATAATTTCTTACACAAAAGTATTTTTGTCATTAAACTGATGCTCAAACTCATGCTTTTTTTTCTTTTTAGAATTATTTCATATTGTCTTCGTCCATGGATAAAACTGTGAGATTGTGGCACATTTCCCGAAAAGAATGCCTTTGTTGTTTTCAGCACATTGACTTTGTTACAGCAATTGCTTTTCATCCCAGAGTAAGTTCATAAATATTGTATCAAAATCTGAAATACTTTTTAGCTACTTATTGTTGAATTAAATCCATTACTAAATTTTTATAAAAAAAATTCTACTTATATTTATTTAACTTTTAATATGTTGGTATGTGTTGAATATGTCAGCAGAGTCACTGTAAGATAGATGAACTGTAGTTGAGAAATTGCCTTTGAAGCAGGAAACCAGAATAGTCTTTAGTATACTTAGTACCGAAAGAAAATTAAATTATAGCGTGTCATTCCAAATCGGGTTGCATTATTGATGGTTGCAAAAAGTTTGTGTGACTTTTATTCCATTATTTCTTTTAACCTTCATAGAATCATGGTGACTCAGGAACTAGAGCTCTCAACTCCTGATCAGGCAAGACATTTGAATTCTGCCAATGACTGATTTGTATACTTATAGCTCTTTAATTGCAGAGATGACGAAAAATATTCCCGTGTTAGACAGAGCATTGGTTAAAATCTCCTTACCTTTGGGATAACTCTATAACGTTTTTATTCTATTCCTTTCTATGTAACCCACATGCTCAAAAAATTCACACAAGTAAATTAATCCAAATGTCATTAAAAATGTAAGAGTTCCCTTTTCTTCTGAGTTTGTTTCAAAATTGCAAGCTGATAAAGTGGTTAATCTGATATGAATCGCCTGTTCAACATTTGTGTTAAATAAAAATGTAACCTTCATTTATGTCTATATATATATTTGTATCTGTATATTTAAATCTACATATTTACTTCTTCATATTTACATATGCTATAACGATTTGCTTTCCATGTGATGTTTAGGAATACCTCTTTTAAGTTGTGTATGCAATAAAGCTTATATATGAGAAATCTGGTTTTTAAAGTATCTAGACAACAAGTTATAAATGAAATAAAAATAATTAAAAAAATATACTTGATAAAAACATTCATTTAATATTATCCTTAGAAATGTAATTAACTTCATAAAATTACTTCAGGAAACTCATTACTTTATTTATAATTTGAGACTCTGAAATAATTTCTGTTTAATTATGTGACATGTATTAACCTTTACATATTTTCTATTTAGGATGATAGATATTTTCTCAGTGGCTCTTTAGATGGGAAACTGCGTTTATGGAATATTCCAGATAAAAAAGTAACTCTTTGGAATGAATTAGATGGGCAGACTAAACTTATCACTGCTGTCAATTTTTGCCAAAATGGAAAGATTGCTATTGTTGGTTCATATGATGGCCGATGTATATTTTACTATACTGAAGTAAGTACAAAATACTAACAGTACTTAAACTGTTTTAACAATTTTTTCTAATTTTTTTTATTTAAATTAGAAGAATTCAAAACTTTTGTTTTTCAATTTTTAAAATATCTGTTATCAGGGCTCAAAGTTTACAGTAGTCCGAGATCCTTTAAATTGGATTCTGGGCCGCAATAGAATGATCAATGTTCCTTCATACCAGTGACACGTAACAGTTGTCCAAGTATAAAGGGACTCCTAATTTAACTTTCGTTTGTGTTTTCTAATTTTGAATGTTGTGCAGTTTGTTTCACTTTAACCTGTTAACGCAGAATTTTTATAAAACATGTTTTTCATACTTTTTTCATTATTTTGTAATAATTTAGTTCAAAATCTGTGATAAATATTATCTTTAGAATGAAACACCGGTACTTTCTTCTGTGTTGAAGATAAAATCTTCCTAACACAGCTCACTTCCAAACAATAATTTTTTCAAATTTGCACTTATTTGCAGCTATTTAGATCTAAGAGAACCAGTTATTCATCATTGAAATTTCGTTAATTTACAAAATGAATTATCAATATATTTTTGAAAATGAATGAGGGAAAAAAAATTAAAACTACTTTATTTGGATTTTATATTTTAACTAGTACAAATATAATTCTGATAATATAACAGATTTTTTTAATAACTATTAAACTATTTTTTATATTTCAAAAATACCAGAATAAAATTAAGCTTGTAATTAGAGCATCAGAAAAAAATTTCTTAAAGGGAAGTCAGTGTCCCAACTGCGTTGAAGGGTTAACTTTGGATAAAAGAAGAGCTTGTGTATCTCTTTTTTGTTGTTAAATAAATCTGTAAATACTTAGCTCAAAGCAGCGAAATGCTCTGATTTTTATTAATATAACTCTTAAAGTACTTATTTAGGTTTTAACCTCATAGAAGCATAAATAAAACTTATACCTAGAGTGATGGAAAGTGATAAGAGTCAGCAGAGTTAAATTTTGCAATATTGTAGTGAAGCGTATCATTTTTCATAATCACCGTAACATGTCTTTATAGCATTAAATTTTAGTTTTAGATCAATCGGTTACGAATGTGTCAATTTTATATAAGTTACAGAAATTATAAAAACCTCTGTGCTTCAGGCATGTCATCAAAAAAAGCAGCTAAAACGATGAAACCAGTGGCGCAAAATGTAAACAGATATGGCAAAACTCTATAATAGTGAAGTAAGTTCAAGGTAGAGAAAAAAAGTCTGGTGTACATTGATTCTTATGAAAATTGTTTTTTAAAAAATTTAAATAAATCAGGTTAGTGTCATGAATTTCTAATTTAAAAGGATTATTCAGTACTTTTAAAAAATCTTTATCTTTTATAAAGAGTAGAAACTCAGTTATCTGAACAACTATGTTTTAGTATAATTGAAAAGTCATGTTTTATTTACTCAAAAAAGAAAAATTTTCAAATATTGAAAAAAAAATACTATGGAATTCTAATGATCAGGCCTTTACTGGGCCTTTAATAAATTTCTGTTACCATAATTTAAGATTTTAGACATATATTTTATCTCAAAAAATTATGAAGGGCCACATTGCTTTCTTCCTACAGGTCCTTTGATCTGCAGGAAATTTTCAGTCTTTCTAATGTTAATAGCATTTTTTTTTATTTCATTTTAAATATTCATATAATGCTCTACTAATGGTGAATATGTGACATTAAACCTCTTTATTAAAGCAATTACAAAATTTACAAAGTTTTAAACGTTTTGTTAACAAAATTTATTTTGTGTAGTAAAATTTTTGAAGTATTTAAAAAAAAAAAAAATCCAATGGGTTCATTCACACCTAATTTTCCCTAATTCCTGCATCTACCTGTTATACCAAGTAAAAATAATTAAGTATATACACTGTCATTACTCAATTTATTTTTACTCCTTGGTGCATAATATATTTGCCTGGAAATACTGCATTTATTTTCTCTTTTTCTCAAAGGTTTTTTATTGTTCTGAAATCTTACAATGCAAGTTGATAAATGAAAGCAATATTACTTGCCTATTTAACCCCTTACCTGCCGAGCAAAATTTGCGTGATTCTATCCCCAGTGCCACCGTTTTTTGCTCAAGTGTGCTTTGTTGTGTTTTGAAAATACAAATCTTAAATTAAGGAATAAAAATACAATATAAACGATGTTAAAACTTAGGTGTTGTATGATAAATCCTGAAACTATTATCACTTTCCGACATATTCATCCAAAAAGTAAAAAGCACTAAATACACATGGGAAACGAAAGTGAAAGAAGAATAAACCCGACCTTACTCAAATAGAAACACACGAGCAATAAATACGATGTCACTTTACCAACACATCCCTTTCCCATTCCACCTCCTCCGAAATTGGTAATACATTCGCAAACACTTTTAACGTCATTTTACTGCATTCCGAGGTTGGGGGTGTAGCTCTATTTATAGCAATACACTGCAAAGCATCGTACTTCGGGAAAGCGTATATATAGACCTGCGGGAGCTGACGCATCGTCTGGCCGAGATGTATGTATACGCTCTCGGCAGTTAAGGGATTAAATACTTATCATATCACTGCTTGATTTGTTGACCTTTTTTGCATAGTAGTCAAACATTTATTAAAAAAAGTAGTAAAAGTCTCATTTTAATGTTCATGCAAGTCATTCCTATCTTATTTTAAAACTAGTATTAGTGCTATAAAAAAAGAGTAAAAATAAGACTACAAATAAGAAATCAATACTTAGTTACTAAGCTCAATAGAACACATTTCAGTGAATAAAACGAATCACATATGTTGTAAAATATTAGAATTTACTTTACTGTCAGAAAACCTTTAACCTTAAAAATTCCCTACTAATTTTGTACTTATTTTAGTAATTTTTTAAATTAAATTCTCTAACTTTTATGCTATACCTTACAATTGAATATATAATGACACTCTCTTTAAACACTATATCACTAGTAAAATAAAAAAATTGTATTTATTAAGTTTATAACCTTTAACCCCTGTTCACCTACTACTAATTTTGAATAATTTGTTACTCAAAATAAAAATAATTTTAAACATTACAATGCAGCTTATGTTTCTCACAGTCAAGCCTCATCAAGGTGTTAAAACTTGTTGGTGGATATTATATTTGTTTTGTTTGAGTCTTACTTTTCCCCTTTTTCTATTGTGACTTATAATAAAGTGGTTCTTTTGTTTTTAGCAATTAAAATATTACACTCAAATCCATGTCAGAAGCACCAAGGGTAAAAATGCACAAGGAAGAAAAATAAGTGGTATTGAAGCAATGCCAGGAGAAGATAAAGTTAGTAAAAATATTTTAATTGTTTAATGTAATTTTTTTTTATCAACAATACTTTAAAGCTTACTTAATGTACTCTGGATTTTATACTATCCCCTTTGAGGAATTCTATTCAAACATTCCTTTAACAGTTTTAACCTAATTGACCTGAGCATGAGGAAAAAAGAGGAAAATAGGACTATTTATAACTTATGTAAGATAACTTTTATTATTAATAATAACAAATATATATATATATATATAGCATTTAAATAATAAATATAACATACCAATTCAATTTTAAAATTATTACACCTTTAACAGTCATTACTCAATATTCTTAAAATTTGACTCAAGATGTTTAAAACCCACTTGACTGGTTGAATGTTTAAAAACCAGAATATTTTATAATCAGTTTAAAAAATAAATAATAAAAAATAACTTTTGTGGTAACTCACCCATATTTAGATAAAATTTGAAAGAGAATTTGAATGGGAATGAAAGTTAGAGATTTTTAAAACATTTTAATTATGGTGGACTTAAATCTTAAATGTTTGCCAAAAAAAAATTGAGGAAGAAATAGCTGTGAAATTCAAGGTACAGGGTATCTGCACACCTGGAAAATCAAATTTGTCATGAAACGCCATGATTTTAACTTTTTTTCAAAAAAAAAATCATGTAAGAGTCATAGGTTTAGGTCGCCAATTTTATGGTGTTCGGAATATCTGAATTTGTAACAAAACCCTCACTCACAGTCATATTTTATTAAAATATAAAATGTTTTTATCATGTTCTTTAAAAATTATGGTGTTCTTTCAAAAAATGAAGGAAAAAACATCATTTCTAAAGGGAATTATCTTTTAAACTTCTGTGATCTCAGAATTTTTGTTATTATTTATTTATTTTTTTTTTATTTTATCAATTTCAAATTCTAGCTCAAGCAAGCCAGTCAATGGCGGATTTTTTTTATTCCGAAATGAGAGCAGAAAAATCAGGAGTATTTCTTTCCTTTCTGATGAACTAGAAAATCATCTTTAAAATATAATTCTGCAGAAAAAAATTTAAAAAATTATTTGCTTTTGTATTTTTTTTCAGCTATTTTATTGCTTCAACTCTTTATTTACTTTATTGTTTAAATTTCAAGTCTATAAATTTGAAGATTGATAGTATAACAGTTTTGGTTATACCTATTATTTCAATTAATGTTATTATGATGCTTTTTTAAATTTATTGTTGTGTTTTTGTCAGAGAAAATAGTAACTTCGTAAAGTCATGAAAAATTCTTGGAATTAGTCATGAATTTTAAGAATTTTAAAATCTAAGATGTAGCAGATACCCTGAAGGTAATGCTGGTTTCTCTTGTGTTTTTCAAATATGACCAATCTAATGTGTATGTCTGCACTGTATAGTTAAAGCAATCAAAATAAATTAATGCCAATGTCATATGAGTTTTAATTAGCTTTTCTAGAATTATACCATACATTTTAAAACACTTCAGGAATAGTATTTGTTTAAAAAATATACTTGAGTGTCAAAATCTTTATTTAAATTGTAAACAAATGTTTTTTATTATTATTATCTGAAACATAAATTATATTAATTCCAATATCTGTTTATGACATTAGAACCTTAAATCAAAAACTGAAGAACAGTCGCCAAACAGAGAAACGTAACATGCTTTAATGTGAAATGAATTTTTAAAGATTTTTTTTATATATATTGTATTTAAATTACATTTTTAATTTTTTTATAAATAATAACAATTTACACATATATATATTTTTATCTTTAGATACTAGTGACTTCCAATGATTCAAGAATCAGACTTTATGATTTACGGGACTTATGTTTAACATGCAAGTATAAAGGTTATGTAAACTTAAGCAGCCAAATTAAAGCAAGCTTTAGGTGAATATTCTTCTCAAACTTTTGTTATTATTATAATTATTAATTGTTATATTTTGATGATAATATTTAAACTAAACCCTTCTTTATTTGCAGTCATGATGGGAAATACATAATTAGTGGTTCTGAAAATCAAGATATTTACATTTGGAAAACTTCACATGACTGTGCAAAATTTAGAAGAGATCGAAATGATTATTGGACTGGTATTAAAGGTAAACGGTCACTTTATTTGATATTGTTGCTTTTATCATAAAAATGTCCCAATTATTTGTCGGTTGATTATTATAATTTCTGAGAAAGCTTACAGGAAAACTATTTATTTATTTATTTTTTGTTATTAAATGTTTGTTGTTTGAGCCAGGGCTTTTTACTGTTTTTACCATGAATAAAACCATAACATCATAATTATCAAATGTTTTTATCTATTGATTTAAACATTATTAACTTTATCTTTTAAATAGGACATTGTTTGCAGTGCTTAGAGTCAAGTATTATATTTTCTTTTAGTTAAAAATTTGTAGTATTAAAAGTAAAAGTTTATGTGATATGATTTTACAATTCTGAAGCTACCAATATATTTAAATATACTGAGCTATTGTGGATAGCCATGATTCTATCTCCAGTTGAAACTTGATTTCTACTTAGTCTCAGATGGTTGGATGCCAGCTTGTCTGAGAAGTAAAGGCAGCCGAGGAACAATGCTGTCTTAACCTCCGTGCTTTGTGCGTACTTCCTTGCAATTTAAAAAACAACGCAAGTGTTTCACGATAGGTTTTGAGAAAAATTGCTTGATAACTATTTACTTTCTATCGCTAATACTAAAATAGAATTTTAAAAAAACTGATAGATTAAAAAAATTTTTAAGAAAAAAAATTTATTAAGTTGCTTATTATACAAAAATGTCAAACATATAAAAATCTCAATTTTTATTTTTTTTTGTTACGTTGATTTTTCTATTGCACGGCGGTATACACTCCTATATGTTAACGAAAGATCTGCTGTGAGCTGTATGCATATAGAATTACCAATTATAATTTAAGAGATTAATAAAATTTTAGTAAAAGTATATTTTGTAATATAATTTTTAATATTATATTTCTAGTTTTTGACATTTTCTTAAATTTCTTGCAAAATACTAATCCTAAAACGTAAGAATTTTTTTAAAAAATTTTTAGGTTTTAAGATTTCTTATACTTTTGAATAAACTTCAATGCTCTTAGAGGCAACAATAAATTACAAACAAAAGCAAGTATTTTTGAACACCCTATGCCAGAAAATATGGCAATTATTTGGATTACTTTGTTGTAATTTGTAATAATCACATAAAAGTTTGCAAACATGGCTTAAATATTTATGGAGATATAGATATTTCTGTAAAAAACTAACTTTTTTGTCCTTTTTTTTTAATAATATTTATTTAAATTAAACAAACATTTAAAAAAAAATAATTAAAAATTTGCTCAAGATATGAGTATTTTTAGTGGTTCTTTCATGAGTGGAAAAAGATTTTTTAAAAAATATTCATAATTTTCTAGTGAATTTGGCAAGCTATGTAAAAATATTATTTCTATCTGTGCTACAAATGTGTGTTTGTTTTATTATTATTTTGGTGAAAATATTTTGCTTTATTTTAAATATTTCTTTTAACTACATTTATGATATATCTTTGATTAGCTGAAGTGGTCAAATTTTTTCAACCTTTAACAGCAATTGTAATTAACCATTACATCACAATGATAGGTCCAGTCTCATAATCTATTGCAAAAACATTGCAACCAAAAAAATTTCTGCCCATAAATTTGTCCGAAAGCATTTCAAACGGACCAGATACAAAAACAGGATGCTACATGTTTCAGTTAAATGACAAATAAATTCCAACACAGTTTAATAACTCTTTAACTGTGAAATATTTTCTCTGCACTAGTATACAATTAGCACTGTGTGTAAGTTGGTTCGATGATTTCCATTCTTCCTGTGATTCTAAAGCTCTCAACATCATGAAATGTTTTTTAAAATTGTATTTTCTGATTCTTAACGTGTTCAAGTGGCTTCACTTCTTTCCTCCTTTAATGAGTAGCACAGTTTTAGTTTTAACAAAAATTGTTTATCCTTTGTTTCAGCTCATAATGCTGTTGTAACTTCAGCCGTATTTGCTCCAAATCCAGCTTTAATAGTGAGACAATTGGAACAAGAAGAAGAAGGCTCCCAGTCTTTAGAACCGAACATAAATAACTGTTATGTGATGGTTAGTGCTGATTTTAATGGAATAATTAAAGTCTTCCTACACAAAGCAAAACCTGCTGCGACCAATACAGCTTAGATTGACTAGTCCTGTTGTAAAATTTGTACAGATTATTAATTATAATCATTATAACATTAATTAATGTATTGCTAATTTTTGTAAAAGATTCTACTATTAAAAAGACATTTTCAAATTTTTATTGTAAAGATTACTTGTATGTGTTATAATATTTTATTAAAGTTTACTTATTTTATTTGCAGTGCTTTTTATTTTTTAAGAGAGAAATCTTATTTGAAAATTTAACAAAAGTTTTAAAGCGTTAGAGGGAGAGCTCAAGTACTCCAGATTGTCACTTTCAGAAATTGATATTAAAGCTACTGTTCTGAGCAAGATGCATGACGATGCTTAATAAAAATAGAATATCAAATTGTAATTAATTGTTTGGTGTAATGTAATTTTAATTTTGAGGTTTTTTGCTATGTCTCCTAAACTATATTTACAAAACATACATTTATAAAATTTGTTTATCCAAAGATTATTCCAATTGAAAAATATTTTTTCTTATAATAATCAAAAATGTTTTAAATTAAGTAAAATTTTAAAAATCTTTTTAGTCAAGTAAGTTTTATGTAATAAAATTCAAAATTTTGTCGATGTTGGTCAAATAATATATGAGCGATATGACTAAAGTATTGTCTTAAAATTCTAATTTTTCATCAAGTTTTGGGGGTTTTTTGTGTGTTTGTTTTTTTTAGATTTTATCATTTTAATTGACATAGTTAAAAATTATTAAATAATTATGTTTCGCTTGGCTTTCATAATATATTTGATTATAGAAAAATTTAAATTATGGTTGCTTAAATTATAACTAGCTTTATAATAAGGTGCAAAATCTTTGATTTGCCAATTTATAAAAATTATTATGTGTAATATTTTACTTTTTAGTTACCATTTCATTTTCCTCGTTTCTTTCTCCATTTAATTTTGCATGGTTTATATTTGAATTATGCTGTTTCAATGTTGTCATTGAATTCCAGTACTTTCTGATGGGTTCTTTTCATTCCCTTAAAAGACTTGTCAGAACTAAGAAGATATCTAAAATTACTTTATTTTTATTTCAAAACTGTTAGTGTGAAGAAATAGATTTATATTTGCTGATATTAACAAGTTGTATAAAAACCACTCAAAAATTGCTAAAGCAGTTTGGCATTAGCGTTCAAAGAAACTCCATATCATAAGCAAAGGTCCACCATATTGACTTCTAAATGCATTGCTTTGGCTCTTAGGTCACTTAAATAAAAATATATTGGCATCTGGAGCACCTGAATTTCACTTTTTTTCGTAGCTGATTTGCACATTAATCTATGACAGTAATTTTGGAGCCAATCCAGTTTCGCTTATTTGTTGTATTTAACAAAGGAAATCGTACCCTCTTCAAGCTTTAGCTGCATTCGCTTTCATAATCATGTCAAAGAACTTGGCACAATTGTAACAAAACGACCCATTTCTTTTTCCTTTTCTTTTTTTGTTATTTTATTCGTTGCACAATTTTGGTTTGAAGCTAACTTTTTAATTTTTCCGTCTTCTATTTATATTTGTGAAATTTATTTGAATTACTTAAGTAGGCTTATTTTCAAATTATAACTTCCGAATACCCAAAATTTTTTATAAAAATTTTTTTTTTGAATAGTATATTAAATAATTTTAATTCTTTAATCCAGTGGTTCCCATCTTTATGGTTCTCTAAGTGATCGAGTTTTTTTTTTTTGGCGGAAGTTTACAAATAAAATTTATTAGTAGCTGTAAATATATTAACAAAGAAAGACTCTGCTAATTATTTTGATAATATTTAATGTGAGGGATGAAATTTTTCTAATCATTTTATCAAAATTATAATCTTTAAATCATCAAAGTAATAAACAGGTATCTTACTTAAATCTGAATTTGTTTTTGGTGTATCCATAAGTTGAAAATGAATTAAGTATTCTGAATTACAGTTTTCGAATAAGAATTGTTAGAAACGTTGAAACTGATAATCAGAGAAATATAATTTGCATTTTTGAATTCGTTTATTTTATTTTGAATTGAAAAGCTCGATGATAAAAAATTATGCAATTTTTTTATAAATGCTTATCCTTTTCCAAATGTATTCAATATATTGTTATTAAAGAATATATTCTTTAAAAAAATGTTGCTAGTTCATTTTGTAACTGGCACTTAAATAATTTCATAAAAATAACCAAAATATCATATAAATTATGGATTATTGTTTAGATGTTAATGTAATTACAGGTTTCAAAAAACATTACTGGTTAAAAAAAATTAAACGTTTTATACCCCTTTGATCCTTCCACGGAATTCTTGGGCTCCATAGAACAGCTTTCAGAAACTGCTGTTCTATACCAATGTTTCCTAATAGAATTTACTTGAAGGACGCTATTGTCTGATTTTTACGCATGCAAAATTGTGAAACTTGAACAATTTTTTGATCAATTTGTTTCCGATTATTCCGATTCATAAAATAGTATATATAAATAAAATTTATGTAGATACTTATAAATTATTCATATGCAAATAAAATTTATAATTTTCCTAATACAAATATTATATTTTCTAATACAGTACAGAACCCGTTATCCGGAAATCAGAAAACCAAAAAACCGGAACGAAATTCGATAAATTTTCCCACCATTTTTTGAAAAAAAAATTTTTTTTCCTCATAAGATTATAGGATTTTTCTTTCTTTTTTGAAAGATGTTTACCATACCATCATTTTAGAAATAATCATTACTGTATTACTTCATCGTTTTTTCTTCTTTTTAAGATTATTTCCTAATATTTTTTTTTAGTTGGGTTTAACAATAAAAAAAACGGCTTTTTGTAGTGATTCGGAAAACCGGAAAAATCAGTTATCCGGAATAGCGATTGTCCCGATCGTTCCGGATAATCGGTTACCTACTGTACCACATAATTATAATGTATACAAATAGAAGCTACTTTTTGCTATTGCTGGCTCTGGTAAATTCAGTTATTTCATTTATTTTAATTTTTTTTAAGTAACCATCATCAAGGAAGAATTTTTTTATTTATTTTTAAAATGAATGTGGTGACTTGCAAAGCATGAAGTATCGCTTGTGTGTACAAAATGGAAAAGAGCCTAATAAAATTTATATTATTTTTATGTTGTGTGTTAGGGAAATAATGTGAAACATCATTTTGAGTTGTGATATTACTTGAAATTTAGAATACATTATAAATAATAAAATGTCATTGGTTTTATTATTGTACATCAGAGCACAAAATTTCTACTCTATTGACGCGTAAATATTTAATAAGTAACAGATAAAATAAGTAACAGAGTTTGACTCAAGAATAATAGAGAGTTTAGTGCTAGGTCAAACTCTTTGACGAATACTTTGACCTAGCAACTGCTATTACTAAATATTAATGCACTAGGACTGCAATTGTCAGATGGTATTNGGGGGGGGGGGTCAAAGGAATCTATTTTTAAAATCTGCAATTTTTTTTTTTTCTAAAAAATTGACATTAATCGGTCGCTTTTTTATTTCAGTAACATTTTTATTTTACAATGATACATTTATTAAAAAAAAAATTTAAAAACAAAGTAAAATTTGAAAAATTTTGATTAAAATTTTGTTATGAATTAAATAGTGAACAAGAAAATATAACTATTAGGTAAATATTCATCATATACTCATTTTTTTTTTCATTTAATAAAGGCATTATTCCCATTATATTATTGCATTTTTAATATCTACTCTAAAGAAATTAGAGCATTTAAAAACATATTTGCAAAATCAAATGAAAAAAAAAAATTTATTATATATTTATTGAACAAACTTTTTACTACTGCAAAGTTCGTTAAGAATAACTGCTTAAAATATTTTATAACTTAAACGAAAATAACTAAAATTGCAGTCAATATATGAACTCATTTATACTGAAACCAAAATGCATAAAATTCCCGAGCATGTAAAAGTATGAACCGTTTGAATAAAGTATGCAAAAAAGAAATAAAGGGAGTTATTTGAATTTACATTCGAAAAAATATGAGTTCGATGTGAGATTTCAAAGGAGTTATAAAGTCAATTTTACTTATAGTATTAAACACTGAACATACATTTCACCCTTTTTTGAATGCTTTAATACAGGAAACAACCTAGACTAAAATCAATCTTCTTAAAGATTTGACGAAATGATTGGTTAACGTTTTGAGTTCTTCAGGTTCCATTAATTGTTTCGCTACTTCTTGCTCTATTGTCATTAGAGCTAGTCCAAATTTACATTAAAAAATAGATTTGAAAACACAATTGTCGCTATTATTATTATTCATGCCCTGTTTTGTTTTGATTTAACACCTGAATTCAAAATATCCACTAAATAGTGTTTTATTCAGATAAAATGAGTAAGTATACCGGTAAAAGAGACTAGTTAAAAAAAGTAACTATAAATTTGTAAAATAAAATTATGTTTCATTACTAGACCTTAATGTTATTAATACAATTTAAATAAATAATTTTTCTGTAATCTTAAGATAAAAATATTTTACTTACCTAAGAATTGCAATTTTAAAAAAAAAATAGATAAATGGACTTTTCCTTACCAGTGTTAAAATTCAAATTTTAAATTTAACAAGCGATCTTATTTGAAAGACCAAACTTGCGCACGAGTACATTTGAAAAAATTGGCGAATTATCAATGTCTTAATTAGTAATCAACAATCCTTTTTACCCTTTTAAAAAAATTAACTGACATTCACTTCACCTGCTTTTTCAAGCAGCTGCTTTTACCAGCACCCAGGAGTTAATCTATGGAACAAAAATACCCAAATAGCTTCTTAAAGCAGACGATTATTAAGTCAATAATTTAAAATCTCTTTCTCTTTTAGAAAGTGGCCTTTTATCTTTGACGAAGGCATTAGAATGAACCAAATTAGTTTATTAGCGAATCATTGAAAGGCATTTTAGTGAATTGTCGAATCAGAGAATGAGTTTATCTATGCATAAAAATGTTTATTAACCTATAAATTGTATTACGACAACAATTTTTCAATTTTTAAAATAATTTTTAACAAAATGGCGTTCGCCGAGTAGAAAACAGCTTTAAAATATTATTTTAGCGTGTACGATTATAAGAAGGAAATAATTAGAAAATATATCTCCAATTGAACTCATAATGTTCAAATGTTGTTCATAATATTGTAATAAGAGCAACTTAAAAAAAAATATTTT